TCGCGGGCACAACCAGTTGCGTTTGGTGACAGTGTTCTGGGCACAGGATAGCCGCGTCCAAGTTCAACTTCAGTTTCAAGCTGGGCGGCGGTGGCGGTGCGCGTCTGTAATCCAACACTGTCACGGCGAGGGATGGTTGGTGGATCGCACGCGCGCACGTTGCGCAACTCCTTTCCCGTGGACGTCGAGGTGCCGTACACTGGCTGGCCAGGAGCGGGTGGTGCAGCAAGTGGACTCACCGCCATCTGTCTCCATATGTATGGGGATACAGCAGGGGTCCTCAAACTTCTTAAACAGGGGGCCAGTACCCGCCACCGCAGCCCAATCAGTGCCCACCACCGCAGCCCAATTAGTGCTCACCAGCGCAGCCCAATGAGTGCTCACCACCGCAGCCCAATGAGTGCTCACCAGCGCAGCCCAATCAGTGCCCACCACCGCAGCCCAATGAGTGCTCACCAGCGCAGCCCAATGAGTGCTCACTAGCGCAGCCCAAAGAGTGCTCACCACCGCAGCCCAATCGGTGCCCACCACCGCAGCCCAATGAGTGCTCACCAGCGCAGCCCAATGAGTGCTCACCACCGCAGCCCAATTAGTGCTCACCACCGCAGCCCAAAGAGTGCTCACCAGCGCAGCCCAATGAGTGCTCACCAGCGCAGCCCAATGAGTGCTCACCACCGCAGCCCAATCAGTGCCCACCACCGCAGCCCAATGAGTGCTCACCAGCGCAGCCCAAAGAGTGCCCACCACCGCAGCCCAATTAGTGCTCACCACCGCAGCCCAATCAGTGCCCACCACCGCAGCCCAATTAGTGCCCACCAGCGCAGCCCAATTAGTGCTCACAAGCGCAGCCCAATTAGTGCTCACAAGCGCAGCCCAATGAGTGCTCACAAGCGCAGCCCAATTAGTGCTCACCACCGCAGCCCAATTAGTGCTCACAAGCGCAGCCCAATTAGTGCTCACAAGCGCAGCCCAATTAGTGCTCACAAGCGCAGCCCAATTAGTGCTCACAAGCGCAGCCCAATTAGTGCTCACAAGCGCAGCCCAATTAGTGCTCACCAGCGCAGCCCAAAGAGTGCTCACCACCGCAGCCCAATGAGTGCTCACCACCGCAGCCCAATCAGTGCCCACCACCGCAGCCCAATCAGTGCCCACCACCGCAGCCCAATGAGTGCTCACCAGCGCAGCCCAATGAGTGCTCACCAGCGCAGCCCAATGAGTGCTCACCAGCGCAGCCCAATGAGTGCTCACCAGCGCAGCCCAATTAGTGCTCACAAGCGCAGCCCAATTAGTGCTCACAAGCGCAGCCCAATTAGTGCTCACAAGCGCAGCCCAATTAGTGCTCACAAGCGCAGCCCAATGAGTGCTCACCAGCGCAGCCCAATGAGTGCTCACCACCGCAGCCCAATTAGTGCTCACAAGCGCAGCCCAATTAGTGCTCACAAGCGCAGCCCAATTAGTGCTCACAAGCGCAGCCCAATTAGTGCTCACAAGCGCAGCCCAATTAGTGCTCACCAGCGCAGCCCAATTAGTGCTCACCAGCGCAGCCCAATCAGTGCTCACCAGCGCAGCCCAATGAGTGCTCACCACCGCAGCCCAATGAGTGCTCACCAGCGCAGCCCAATTAGTGCTCACCACCGCAGCCCAATGAGTGCTCACCAGCGCAGCCCAATTAGTGCTCACCAGCGCAGCCCAATGAGTGCTCACCACCGCAGCCCAATGAGTGCTCACCAGCGCAGCCCAATTAGTGCTCACCACCGCAGCCCAATCAGTGCTCACCACCGCAGCCCAATGAGTGCTCACCAGCGCAGCCCAATCAGTGCTCACCAGCGCAGCCCAATTAGTGACCATGGGCCGGATAAATGTCCTCGGCGGGCCGCATGTGGCCCGCGGGCCGTAGTTTGAGGACCCCTGGGATACAGTGTTGCCCCCTCGCTCACGCGTGGGTTTTTCTCAAGGTACTCTGGCTTCCTCCCACACGTATGATGATAATAAACACAACTCGTCATTAATTTGCTGAAAACATTCTCAAATAGAACGGCAATGCAGGACCCTCCTGAAACAGAAGTCCTATGACTCCGTGTGGCTTTCCCTGATAAATAAATAACTTGATATATTCTTATCTAAGGGACCTTTTTACCGGTATCAAAATGAAAATATAAGAATAGGCTTTACCATCTCTGGCAATAAAACATGTTTACACTATGAGACCTCCTTTACCAGTGGCAAAATATAGTAGTAGGTTTTTACCCTTTAAACTGGTACAAAACTGACATCTTTATACAAGGCATCATGTTTGCAATAACCACAACACAAGCAGTCAAAATGCAAACAAAAAGAAACAACTCTGATAATGATAATGATATGCACTGTCCTTGAAGTTGATTGGTCCACACCCGAGACAGATTTTCTTAGAGCCTAGTCTCCATTGGTGTTGAACCAGATGACGCCAAAAGGCTACAACTCAGCCTTTTGGCGTCATCTGGTCCAATACCAATGGAGACTAGGCTCTAAGGAAAGCTGTCTCGGGTGTGGACCAATCAACTTCAAGGACAGTGCATATCATTATCAGAGTTGTTTTTTTGTTGTTTGCATTTTGAATGCTTGTGTTGTGATTATTGCAAACATGATGCCTTGTATAAAGGTGTCAGTTTTGTACCAGTTTAAAGGGTAAAACCCTATTACTATAATAAAACATGTGTTAAGGGTTGAGCAGCGAGTTCAGGCAGAGCTAGTAACGCTTTGCTTGAATTGTCTGTGCACCGTTCGCCTTTTGGCGTTCTCTCGTCTTCACACGGGTGGTGAGACAGGGCTGAGAAGGCTGTCTCTGGTGTAGGCCAATCAGCTTCAAAGACAATGAGTGCGTTATCAGAGCATGTTTTTTTCTAGATTTGAAGTTTTCGTGACTGCAAGGATTCATACTCTTTGTTTTTTTTCTTTATCAATATGCTAAATTCCTCTGTTGATATGTAAACTCCTTTGTCAAGGCGCTCTCCTCCTCCCACCCAGCTTAAAATACGCTGCCAAGCTTAGCAGTGTTCTGTTTCTTCACCTGAGGACGGCTGCTTGCGTTGTGGCCGAAACGTCGTGATTTCATTTATTTTAATTTTTTACCAAGAGCATGTTTTGCCACAAGTATGTCAGAATCAGAATGTTTATTTATACTGGAGGAATCCGATGAGCTATAAAGCTCTTTTTCAGATGCCCAGTGGGGGCGGGTAAGAACATTACAACAACAAACAATACACAACAACACGACAGGAATGCAAAGTACAAGAAAAGGTCAACAAATCACCAAAACACAAACAAATACAACAACAAGCCATCCCCATCCTACCAGGCAAAGCCCACTGAGGCATCAACTTATTTTTCAGAAGCGACCTGGCTATCACAAACGATAGCTCAACAAAGTGGCCCATCATTTGGAAATGTTTTCAGCTATCTAAATCATCTCAATGCCTGATTCTTAATGTGGAGGGAAATGGCAGAGGATCCGGAGAAGAATCCACGTGGCCACGGGGAGAATCAAATTCGAGCTACAAATATACAGCAGCAGGCGTCAGGGTCGGGATTGAACCCCTGACCCCCTGATCCCCCTACATACCGGGCAAGGAAGATGACATCTCACCACCGTGGTGTGTGGTTAATGCAGACTTTTGATGCCTTGCGGTAGGCATCTGTAGAGTGTCTGAACATCATAACATCTGTTTTATTGCCAGAAAGCAAGGCTGGCAGCATCAGGGTTTTTTTCCATCGGGTTTTTCATGGTTTTAATTTAAAAAAAATGATCATCTCAGATGGCCAAAAAGCCGGTTTTATTCGGTTTTATTGCCTGTTAATCCCTATAAGTATAGCCCCCACCAAAGAGAAGACCAACAACACGTTCCGCTACAAGATGGTCAAAGGTTGCAAGACGCCCGATGGAGTCTTGGCTGTCCGATGGCAGTGAGTGGCAAAAGATTGCCGTCAAGCTGTCCAGCATCGCCACGTCCAGTGCCGCATCCGAGAGGAATTTCTGCACCGCGGCCTTCGTTCACTCCGAGCTGAGGGGGAGGAGCAGTCCGAGCGTGAAGTCGGTGGAGAAGGTCGTCGTCATCATCAAGAGGGCAATGTTCCCGCCGCCTTCGACGGCGCGGTCGAGATGATCGAAGAGGACAGCGAATCCGATGACTCTGGCGCCGATTGACGACGACTTGACTTGCCGGTTTAAAACCATGGTTCTTTTCGACAAAGTCTTTTTTTTAATGAAACCAATAACCTGATCAAATTTGCAAAAAAAAACCAGTTTTTTTCCACCCTTGCCAGAAAGGATAAGCCTATTCTTATTATGTTTTCATTATCATTATATAATTCTTATATTTTATCTGTCTTCCCTTTTGAAACTTGCTTGCTCTTTCTGGTTTCACAATCTTTTTGACCAGTGACAGAATGGGGACTAAAAATCGGCCCAGGCATTTGTAAACACACCGGCCCCAAATTCGGGCTCTGGGCATTTTTATTTTATTTAAATGGGTTTTTTTTTACTGCGTCGACAAACTGTGTAGTAGTCTTCGTGCCAGTCGCTAGAGTTGTGACGTGACGATATATTCGCGTGATTTTTTTCTGTCCGACCCTCATTGGGCCCCCATCGGGAGCTGGGTCCGAAAATCAAATGGACGGGGCGGGGGGGTGAGGAAGAATCTTTGGGGGCTGCCGAATGTGGGGACTTAATGAAGCAACCGAGGGCGTAAATAAGCAATGAAGGGGGTACACATTGGAGGTAATGAAATATATCAATAAAAAAATTAGAAGGCTAAAAAATTCCTCTGGTCGCATTTGCCATTTCCCTACACAGACCCGGCCCCCAGCGGCCTTCAGGAATAGACCGGCCCTCCCGGGAATTTGCCCTTTGGACTGCCGCCCCTGTGGGCCCTGTCCGGCGGGCCTGGCTTGCGACCCGTCTCTGTGGCTGAGCCGGTTTGTGTGTGTGGTCCTGTACCCCACGTGTGCGTGCGTGCGTGCAGACAAGCTGGAACACGCGCAAGAGCAAAACGTCAGCATCCAGAGGGCGCTGGAGCAGACCATCAGGGAGATCCACGACCTCTGAGACGTGTCGGCCTTCTCAGGGTCGGGGGGAGGGAGAGGTGGGGCCCCTCATCACACGTGGCTCGGGGTGGGGATATTCGTCGCCTATAGCTGGGGCCAAAAACTTATTTGCTGCCAATGATCCGGTGATATTTGTTTTATATTGTTATTGTTTTAGTGCAAAACAAAAATCGTAATTTTCACGATACTACCATTCCATATTTTTGACAAGCAGGGGGTGCAAATACACAGTGGTGTCTGGCCAACAAGTGAAATGTGTTGTGCACTATCAACAGCACAGTTATGCGCTACCAACCAGAAAGGTTCTAAGATCTAGAGTTTTTACAAAGCTGTCGAGTGTGAAACCCAGTATTTGCCATAGACTGTTCGTAGAAAATCTATAATTTAAGCCGTCAACTTTTAAAATATGCCATCTGTGTACACATTTCCGTTGCGCTTGCATCCATTTCATGTTTTGTACGGGGGTATTTAATTATTTTGTTTAAATATTAACTGGCAGCTGAAGGTAGGGGGAGAAAAACCAATGATCTGATACTTTGTTGGGTATAAATGGTCAGCAGGGACTAATTTAGATGTGTTTTTAATTGCTGAACCAAAATAATACATATCATGTTTGGCATTCCACTTCTTTGTAAAGAGCTTTTTCTTTATAAACCCTAATCTACTATTTCATACTTTAGGTCTTCAAATCGCTGCACAATCTAAGCCGGCAAATCTCTCCAATCGTGTCCTCTTTCCATAATCTATTATATACATGTAGCCAAAGCGGTCTCATGTGCAGATGAGCAAACATTTTGGCATGGATTTTTCTGTACAATTTTGAAAGCCCCCACCCCCCGCCGCCGCCTGCGTAAATTAAGCAGTGTCGCTCAGTGTGTCTGCCTGTAATCCTACGCTGGAGAATGAAACGTCCTCTGTACGAAAGCAATATTCTGGGTAGATTGAGTCATTCAATGACTCATTCAATTACTTAATGTACTAAGGTGCCACGGTGGCGAGATGTTGACTACATCGCCTGGTATACAGGAGGTCGTGGGATCGATCCCGACCCTGACGCCTGCTGTGTATTTGGAGTTTGCGGTGTCTCTCTCTCTCATCATCATCACGGTGGCTCGGAGATGTTAACTACCTCGCCTGGTATACAGGAGGTCGTGGGTTCGATCCCGATCCTGCCACTTGCTGTATATTTGGAGTTTGTGCGTTCTCCCCGTGGTTGCATGGATTTTTCTCCAGGTCCTCCGGATTTTCCCTCCACATTAATTTGGCTGCTATAAATTTCCACGCGCTGATAAGCCACTTCGTTGAGCTATCACTTGTGGCCAGGCCGCTTGTGAAAACGAGCGATGTAGCTCAGTGGTGACTTACCTGGTAAAATAAAATCGTTTAGTTTGTCTTTTTTCATTCCTGTGCATCAGCTCCTTCACACCACGAGCTGCGCATTTTCAAGCGTGGTCTTTAAATTGCTTGCGATTGTTTCTGAAAGCGTCATGCCAAGGGCTAAAACGATTTGCCTGGTCTGGTCATCTATGTGTATTCTGCATTTTGAAATAAAATTGAAAAAAAACCTCTTCAAATGTAGTTCTTATTAGTCTCGCTGACGTTTCAGTCAATGCACAAATAGTATTATCTGCTATGCCGCGAGCTTCAGAAAGAACGGAAAGTAGAGGAACACAAAACTGAAATGCCAACACAAGTGTGGAGAGACGCGCGCTTGCAATTACACTTGAGAGACGGAACGCGTGGATCAGAGGGCATACGCAGGTTATTTTACATATTTAAAACCGAACAAACGTCAACGGGCTTGGGCCAGGATGTCTCGTTTGGAAGGGATTGGTGGCCGATGATTGCCAAGAATAATACTGGTAGGAACCACCTGGTTCCACCAGCCCACAGTGGATTATTGTGTCCGTCCGTCCGTCTGTCGTGCATCCAAAAATGGGAGGGATAGGGCTGGGTGGGGAGGGTGGGGAGGGGCTGGGTGGGGACGGGAGGGTGGGGAGGGGTTGGGTGGGGCTGGGTGGGGAGGGTGGGGCGGGGAGGGACTGGGTCGGGAGGGGCTGGGTTGGGAGGGAGGGTGAGGCTGGGTGGGGGTGGGAGGGATGGGGCTGGATGGGGAGGGGCTGGGTGGGGAGGGAGGGTGGGGCTGGGTGGGGGGTGAGAGGGGTGGGGCTGGGTGGGGAGGGGCTGGTCACCCCGTGGTGCCCTTATAAAACTCAACATTTAACCGACTCACGCCGGCTTGTGCCCGCCATCACAGTCGGGCATATTTGCGGAATACACCACGCCGCCGTTGACCCTGGCCATTGACCGAGCAACCCAACGTTCCTACCAGCTCCCTCCGCAGGAATGTGTTAACGGTGGCAGCCAATAAGTGGAATCCGTCTGAGAGCATTGCAGTGAGGAGATGGAGCCCATGAAATCGGTTCGAGCGTGTGTGCCGGGTGGATTATTTACGTCCCAGGATTATTGTGAATGTCCGTTGCTTGGTGATGCCTTCAACAGTGGATGATGATCCCATCGCTGATGATGATACAATAATTAATAATTCGGTATATAATCGCCCAACGCCCTCCATTATTTCACCAACCTTAAATGCGAATTTTGTGATGAAAAACTTTGATCGCCAAAACCGGAAGCAAGTCCTTAAAACGTGGATGCGAAACATTTGCAACGGACGCTCGGCGAACACGTGACCGATTGCAGCCTCGTCCGCTCGGTGTTTAAAAGTTTGACGACTGGGGGCGTCACATTTCACGAGCCAGGGCAGAAATTGGCGCAGTCCAACGGAGTGTGTGGGGGGAAACATTTGTGGTAACAAACTTTGTTTTTATGTGGCCAACAAAACGTTAATTTACATGGGAACAACGTTCACAACCTCGGAGGGTTATCAGTCGGGGTGTGTAGATATACTCTTATCGTCCTCCGGCGCTTTTTGATGGCTTTTTCGTGATGCAAGGGACAGCAATTTGACCCACGAATCGATTCTGGCCCAATCGTTGAGATCTTCTCAGTGGCTATGGAGGAAAACAAAATCAAACTGATGACTCAGTGCACTTCAGTTGTGACGATTGTCTCTCGCCACCCCACAGCTGTTTACTGCAATATCTCGCTTCGGCTGATGGACGTTGGGATTTTGTAATGAGTGAATTATAATGACTGGATAACCTCTCTGATGTTAATAATAATAGGGGTTTTCCCCTTTTTTCTGGCAATAAAACTGAAACCTTTTTACAAGGATTCATGTCTGCATCAACCACAATACTTGCAGTCAAATGCAAACAAAAAACACACTATGATAATATATGCATTGTCTTTGAAACTGTTGTAAACGCTATCCCACGTAAATTCATTTTTGTTGGCCGTATAAATAAAGTGATGTCCACAAACGTTTTCCCGCACTTTGTGGCACCACATTCTGCCCTGGCTCGTGATTTGTGATGACCGAATCACTCGGAACACGCCCAATCTTGTCAAATCCCGTAAACTCATCTGGTTTTCCACAAAAGCAGTGCCGGATTATCCGAGTAGCACAAGTAGCTACATATGCAGTAGCTACTACGGGCCCCGCATTTTCAAGGGCCCCGCGCTAAATGCTTTCAAGTTATCAATTCCGGTTCAGTGATTTTGTAATTGCTCTATTACTATAGTACTATACTGCCTTTAACTTTTATGAACGACTGTGTGTTTAAGGTTAGCGATTTGTCGTATTTGGCTGTATAGCAAATGAAAAAAATACAATAACTTTACAATGCAATTTAAATTTCGATTTAAAGCTTTCGTGACTGCAGGGATTCATCTTCTTGGTTCTTTCGGTAAAGTCACGTAGAAGGGAAGTAATAAAATAATAAAAATTAAACATACTAAAATAATTCTCACGACGTTTCGGTCACAACGCAAGCAGCCGTCATCAGGTGAAGACCAGGTCTGTCGGGGAGACAGCGTTGTGACCGAAACGTCGTGAGAATTATTTTATTATGTTTTATTTTTATTATTTTATTACTTCCCTTCTACGTGACTTTACCGAAAGAACCAAGAAGATTTACAATGCAAGTAAAAAATGTGTGTTTTAATATTTGTGTGTTTTTTTTTTATTTAAGGCCCTTTTATAACACATGCAACAGGCCCCACACCAGCTTAATCCGGCACTGCACAAGGGGGCAGCAAAAACTTAGGCGTAGCAATATTAGCAGGAAGTGTGGCTACTACGAGTCAATGATTTGGTTCCCCACTCATTTCAATTGGTCATCACAATCATTCACGATCGTTGGCCACGTTGAGAAATTGTAAACTTTCGAAAGTTGTGCTGCCACCTCAGGTGGCACCGTCTGGTCTGATGAGCTCATGGGATAATTGGCCGTCGCCTGTACACTACAGTAGCTGTACACAACATCCATCTCTCTGTGAGCGGGGGAAGGAAACGAGTGGAGCATTATCAGCACGAGACACTCACGGCCTGAGTGTGAACACGTGGCATCCACGACTCACGGACACTGCGGGCAAAGGATCGATACACATCAAAGATGAGTGGGAGTTGAATGTTGTTTTGTGTGTTGTTTGTACGGTACTTGTGTGCACTGACTGCCAACGCAGCAGCAGCAGCAGCATCGCCAAGTAGTTTACTAATATAATATATAATATTATTATATTTTAATTTTATTAATTTTTATTTTTTACCTACGTGACTTTACCGAAACAACCCAAGAATAGGAGCATCTTTTGATTAGGAGTGCACCGGACACGATCGTATTTGGTGTGTTTCAGGAGTGGACCTCGCGGACGCGAACAATTGGCAGCTTAAACAGCGACTGACTGCTGCGCGTCTCGACACCCGAACCTGGGGAGCTCAGAGGGCTGCGGACAATTTTCCGCAGGGCGCGCTCCTGCGGCAAACGAAGCGGCTGAAACGACGAAACGAACGGAGACGCGAAGATTCGGCAGAGAAACTGAGGCGCAGAAAGGGCTCCCAGCACCACGGACACGTCACCCCCCCCCGCCCCCACTCAGGCTCTGGACTGTTCAGAAGTAAAAAATTAACCCGTAAAAACTAAGTTTTTCACTATAAATCCTTTATATGCGTGGCGGCTATAGTCCTCTCGTCCTCTGGCTTGAGATGGCTGCCACCTATGGGTCAGATGATTGCCTGCCACCATTAAGCAATTGGTAATTAAATATAAAAAAAATCCTAAAAAGTGTAAAGTTGTGGAAAAAATGTTCACGAAAATAAATTGTCACGCACAACGAGTCTGTGTGCAAAATGTCAGCTCGATTGGATCACGGGTAGTGGGTTAAAAAACGACCGAAAGATTTGCACGGTCGTAAGCGCGCATGCAAGCAAGCAAGTGAACTTAATATAAAGGATTTAAAAATTAGGGCTGAACGATTTGGGGAAAATATCTAATTGCGATTTTTCTGACACATTGCGATTTGATTTGCGATAAAAATTTTTTGAAGTCAAGCTTCAGTTCAATATTCACTGTGTAATAGATTTAAACATGTGATGGGGCATTACCACGTGATACCATCCAAATATGAAATGCTCTATATATATTCTAATGCAAGGATGAGAACTTAAAATATATGAATTGCTTCAAACATGTATTTATTAAAATGTTTTAATTTAAATAGAACAATCAAACATAGAACAATTACCTATATAACCTCTTACCACGGCAACTCTCTCCCAATTCAGCAAAAAAAAATATTGCTGTGGTTTTCCCACTTGATGAAAAATTAACCCGTAAAAACAAAGTTTTTCACTATAAATCCTTTATATGCGTGGCATCGGTTTATTTTATTATTCATTTCTGTTTTTCTTGAGTAAGAGTTTCATTTTTATCACATTGGTATTTTAAATTAAATATGATTTTTTTTTTCCTAAAAAGTGGAAAATTTAGGAATTTTTTTTCACGAATATAAATTGTCACGCACAACGAGTCTGTGTGCAAAATGTCAGCTCGATTGGATCACGGGAAGTGGGTTAAAAAACGACCTGAAAGATTTGCACGGTCGTAAGCGCGCAAGCAAGCAAGCAAGTGAACTTAATATAAAGGATTTAATGATTGCTTGTGTTGCAATCGAAACGTCGTGATTTAATCTATTTTATACCAACGTGACTTTACCGAAAGAACCAAAGCGAATGGATCCCTGCAGTCACGAAAACTTCAAACCTAGATAGAACAATTGTTAAGTTCAATAAATAAAGTTCTAATAAAACAATTACATTAAGAAAGTAAAAGGACTTTTCAAATCGCAAAAAAATCGCATTGTTTCAAATTTCGATTTGAAATCGATTAATCGTTCAGCCCTCGTTCAAATGCACCACCTGCCACAAACGAACAGAAGAGCTGCAAGTCAAGGGTCGGCTTGTACAGCCGCCAACTGCGTGGGCTTCCGTATTTCCTCCCTGATCTTCGCAAGCCACGAACCAGCCGACGACTCCTGATCAAAAGACGCTCAGGAAAAGTAAAACAAACAAGAAACTATTTTGGTGATGCTGCTGTGTTGGCGGCAGTCGTGCACAATTACAAATTAACGAAACAAAAACAATCATCAACACAACTCTTCTTTGGAGTGTGCGGTGTCCCCCTGATCAAAAAATTATCCGGAAAATGTTTCTATTTTATTTATGTGGGTGACGCTGCTGCGTCGGCAGTCGTACACGAGTACAAATTACCTAAACGAAATCATCAACACAACTCTTCTTTGATGTGCCATGAAGAATGGGTCCACTGCCCGAATATTTTATTTTAAGGAAGTTGTTCTTTCGGTAAAGTCACGTAGAAAGGAAATAATAAAATGATAAAAATAAAACATAATAAAATAATATACTAATATAAAATAATTTATTTTATTTTATTATTTCCCTTCTACGTGACTTTACCGAAAGAACCAAGAAGATGAATCCCTGCAGTCACGAAAGCTTTAAATCGAAATTTAAGGAAGTTGCTCCCATGTTGAGATATAAGTGCAACTGCGCCCTCTAGTGGCAATAAATTGTATAATAAAGCGTTTTGGGAATTGTGAAAAAATTACTTATTTTTAGTAAAATATATTTCTGTACTATTTTTCCCGATCTACGTTTGTCTCCTCTGCTTCACCTCCTCATCTCGAGGCCACCATCTCTCTCCAAGTGGAATGCCTCCACCATCATCTCCAAGCAAATGCGTCACCGTGGCTAGGAGATATCAACTCCTTCGCCTGGTATACAGGAGGTCGTGGGTTCAATCCCAACCCCCGCCGCCTGGATATTTGGAGCTTTTGTGTTCTCCCCGTGGTTGTGGGTGGACACTTCTCCAGGTCCTCTGGTTTTTCCCTCCAAATTTCGAATCAACATCACGCGTTGATAGTAATTTAGCTGCTATGAATGTCCACGTGACGACAAGCCACTTCGCCGAGCTATCATTTGTGGCCAGGCCGCTTCTGCAAAATCGCGGTATAACTCAGTGGGCCTTACCTGGTAAAAGTTTAGTTTTAGTAAACATTCTGGTCATGTGACAGTTGTGCAGTCACATGTTTTTAAAATGTATGTTGCATGTTAACACAATAAAACATCGATATGTGCTTCATTTGGTTTGACCATATTTAGTATATTTGTGGAAGTGCAAAAATATAAATATGCTTTAAATGTTAACATATGTAAGTTCTCACTGAACGCATGCTCACACAACGCGGTTCTGATCGAAGGGAACACTTTTTTCCATAAATGACGTCACGCACCTAGGGGGTGGGGGGGGTCAGACATTTGTGACGATGTGTGACGAGGGGGGGATTTAAGAAATGTGACGTCACATCAAAATGCGCAACTTTAAATAAATATAGAATTGTTATAACAACACTCCTACAACATCAGGGTGCAGCGCCACATTAAATACGCACTACAATGACAATAGTTAAAGCGATTTGAAGCACGTTTTATTGTCAAAATGAAAATATGGTTTTGGAGGGCGGGGGGCAGAGCTTTGTGACGTCATATTTGAGGGGGGTCTGACTTTTTCTGACGCCGTGTGACGAAGGGGGTGGGGGGTCAAAAATCGTCCAAAATCGCGTGACGTCATTTATGGACGGACCCATAGGTTCCCAGACTCCAGATCCCAACTGAGCTACCCGAGGCCGTCTCTGTACGAGTATTGGTACAATATGACCGAGAGTCGGGTGACAATTGAATATTTTCAATATAATCTAAAACCAGGGCCTTGAACCCATGTGCTTTGAACTCAGGAGGCAATACGCCCTCTGCGCACGTATGAAGCTCTGGGGGCAGATAGCAGAGGCGAACATTGATCATCTTTCGTACGGCTGCTGTAGATGCAGAGCAACAACAACAACTAGTTTCACCTTCTTGGTTCTTTCGGTAGTCACGTAGAATGGAAATAATAAAATAAAACATAATAAAATATATATTTTATAATGTTATATTTTATTATTTTATTATTTCCATTCTACGTGACTTTACCGAAAGAACCAAGAAGATGAATCCCTGCAATCACGAAAGCTTTAAATCGAAATTTAACTAGTTTCACATTCAGGTGAACATCGGTGCCTGTGCAGTGGATATCCGGGGAGTGGAGACGACTTGTAGATGCAACGCGTTCATTCCAATAACGGTAACATTAAGTTTCGATTTAAAGCTTTCGTGACTGCAGGGATTCATCTTCTTGGTTCTTTCGGTAAAGTCACGTAGAATGGAAATAATTTAATAATACAAATAAAACATTATAAATTATTCTCACGACGTTTCGGCCACAACGCAAGCAGCCGTCCTCAGGTGAAGAACAGGTCTGTCGAGAAGACAGAGTCTGAATGAAACACCCCAGGCTTGGAGCGTCTATTTAAGCTGGGTTGGAGGGGCAGCGGTCCTTTTACCTCCTGCCTGGGGAGGCACGGCCTCCGGACCGGCGTGCCCTGTCACTGGGCTACGGGCTCGAAGTCCTCCGGCGAGGGGTGACCTAGGGGAGGATACACTGACCCGACCCAGCCAAGGTACGGGTCCCGACCACTGGCCCTCTCGGTCCCAGCCCTTACAAGGACATCGGGCGCTGGGGGTTCCCAGGGTCTCACCACTGGCCCACTGAGTCCCGGCCCTTACAAGGGCAGCGGGTCTCGTGGTCCCAGGGTCATAGGCTAGCTGGTCTTCGGACAGGCCCCGGACCCGTCCAGAGGTCCTGCTTCTTTACACCTCCCCAGGTGTGTCCGGCCCTGGCCACGCCTCCCTTCCAGAGAGTTCCAGGGGGGGTCTCGGGGGATCCTTGAACACCCCGCAGCCCCCCCCCCCCCCTGCTTTGCGGCTGGGGAATGTCGCGACCCTCACGCCGGTTCAAGTTACTGCTCCTGGTGGGCCCTGTCTGCTACTGCAGGTAAGTCCACGCAGCCCAATTACAGCGCTACACCTGGACTCGACTGATGAGTCATCTTTAGGCCTAAATCGGTCACTGGGTTGTGTCAATTTCACTGCTGCCCGTTGGTACACCGAAAACCACAAATGGTAGGTTAAGTATTTTATTAAACCTAGAAGGGCAGTTAACCGAAAGACGCAACATTTCTTCAACATTTCATTTGTAAAACAAGAAAAAATACACGTGGCACCTCATGGTGACAGGGCTCATGCAACACACTACGATCCCTGCAACCTGCCTTCGATTATACCAGCCATGGCTCGCGACAGTGGCGAGCGGATATCTGAACCGGTCCTGGGGGGCACCGCGGTCATGGCCAATTCACTTTATTCGGAAGCCACTGGAGCGATGCGCTTCACTTTAAAATCGAGATTGAAAACGATTTTTTTTATAGAACGGATTTTTTGTGGAGCCACACATCGATAACGATTAGCACGGTTGGCTACATACGGCGCGAAAAAAGTTCAACATATACATATACATACATGCTCAGTCGGCGTTAGCTGCCGAGGTTGTGACGGGGTTTTTTTTCCAACGGTTTTACTTAACTTGATTCCTCCGTTTGTGGTGGTCGAATCTTGTAATAAAAATTTCGACCACTTCCCGTTGTCCAATTAATTCCACATTTTGCACACGAACTCAGATCCGGTGACAATGCATGACTGTATCAAAATCGGCATCAATCCATCAATAAATTTGCTACTTTAAAGCAATTTTCTATTTTGCATGGACGCCTATTTATATTTGTGTAGGTCAAAAACGCAGCGGGGCCCCCTAAACTCTCCAATCGCCTCGCCCAAGAAGCAGGCGCCACGTGTCTCAGGCGCGCCTGCTCCGTGTCAACGACTTCCGGAAGTAATCAATGAATTCAAGTAAAAGCGTTGACGTGGGAGCAGGCGCCGTATCATTGACGTACTTCTCGAGCGTGAGTTAAACGAAGTTGTGGATAAAACCGTGGTTAAATTTCGATTTAAAGCTTTCGTGACTGCAGGGATTCATCTTCTTGGTTCTTTCGGTAAAGTCACGTAGAAGGGAAGTAATAAAATAATAAAAATAAAACATATAATAAAATCATTCTCACGACGTTTCGGCCACAACACAAGCAGCGTCTGAAGACGCCTTCAGACGCTGTCTTCCCGACAGACCTGTTCTTCACCTGAGGACGGCTGCTTGCATTGTGGCCGAAACGTCGTGAGAATTATTTTATTGGTTTATTTTTATTATTTTATTATTTCCCTTCTACGTGACTTTACCGAAAGAACCAAGAAGAAAAAAAACCGTGGTTGTAATTTTTTTTAAAGGAGTTTATTCTCACTCTTGTTGCTGGATGCCCCGGGTACCGTTCTCCTGTAATGTGCACCGATGCCGACTTTACCTAGGTCCGATATTAGCACGTAAAATAAATATTGATCCATTGACACCTTCATCAACCCGCACGAAATACCAGCATGGTGACGTATCGTCAAACAACATGCCCATGGTCAACAGTGTGGGGGGGGGGGGAGGTCTTCATCCAGAAGTGGATCGATACAGGGCTGGAAAGTAACTTTAAAGGGTGTCTTGAAATGAGATGGGTATTACAGATATTCATAACTGGCTCGAGACATTGGGATTGTCTACTGTTTTGGAGCAATACTTCAGAAGTGATACGATTACCATCACCAACAATTTTCATTTGAAATTTACCGAAATTTGCACTCACCAAAATGTACATTTTCCTTGCAGGGTTTGGTTGCAAGTGTGAATTTCAAACCAACACTTTGTATGTACATCGCAACAACAAGAAACTAACATTATTGCACGATGCTGCTGTCCCACAATCAACACATTCTCTCCTGTTTTACACACGTGCACAGTTTGACCCGATGTCAAAAATTAAGCGATGCAAGAGCTCAACCTCCTGTCTCAAAAATGCACTGCTATTTGTGGACATCTTTAAAAGCTTCAACACGCAGGCATTCGCGACCAATATCCACAATACATTTTTTTGGGTTAGATCGTGTAAATGTGTCGTTTAACCCACCACCACCTAACACAGCCATTTAGTAAAATCTGGCTGTCGCCTGATGAAGCTAGTTGTAATTACTGGCGAAACGTCGTACTCAGATTGTAAATGTTGTGGCTTGGCTCTCCAACACACCGGTGTGCTGTACTAGTGACGAATTGTCCACGTTCCGTTTACGTGACAAACCTTACTAGTTTGCTGTGTCGGGTGGTGGCGGGCTTAATGACACATTTATATATTTACATGATCTAAACCAAAAAACCTCTATTATGGATCTTTAAAAGCTGTTCAGCTTTTACGGCGATTCATGAAACAGAACGCTTTTAGAAGATCTAAACAACACGATTACGCTTCGCAGGCAATTTTAAAGTGACACGTTTTTAAGAGAGCACATCCACACTGACGCGGCGCAAAACGTAGGCGATGTTTTCGTCGCCGCCAATAACGAGTTCAATTATATCTACATCTGCAATATTGTCAAGCGATTGTTACGAGTATGATGAAAAAAATGTCACAAGTAGAACAATAATTAACTGCTTGAACCATGACATTTGGGACCAAGGATTTTCTTAATCTGCATTTTACATTCAACATCAAATTTTTCTAAATGCAACTTTAAATGTTCGGGTAGACACACGCACAGCGTAAGCGGTGATATCGTCTTCCCGAAAGTTTGAAGGCAACGTATTTCATGGACAATTTTGGGCACAGCGAGTCTATGCAAGTTGTTATATTATTTGCATCATAATCCGTCTTCTTCTTTCCCGATACCTCTGCGCGTTTTGCTCCGATGCGTTTTGCATTTCCTATATCAACACGAGCCGCTTTGAGATGCTGCGATGTTTAAGAAATAAATGCAACTCCTCATCGTTGAGCAGCAAATCCTTAATATTCGCGGGGGCATTTTATCGCGGTTTTGAACATTCGCGAAAATGTTGTAGTGCTATTTGGCATTTATGGGGTTGTATTTTTAATATCCACAGTCATAGCACGCTACTAGCAAGTTGTGGCACATGGGAGCGGTGGAGATTGTGAAACGGCAAAAGTTAAAACTGTAAACTTTTTTTTACACCAGGCGAGGTAGTTAACATCTCCTAGCCACTGTGATGATGGTGGTGGTGGTCGAACCCACGACCTCCTGTACACCAGAAGCGACCTTGCCAAAAATGATAGGTCAACAAAGCGGCTCATCACGTGGAAATGTTTAGCTGCAGTCGAACACTCTAAAAGCGTGATGTTTATCCTAAATGTAGAGGGGGAAAACCCTACATGACCACCACGGGGAGAGAGACACGCAAACTACAAATATACAGCAGGCGTCAAGGGTCGGGGTCGAACCCACGACCTCCTGTACACCAGGCGAGGTAGTTAACATCTCCTAGCCACCGTGATGATGGTGGTGGAACCCACGACCTCTTGTACACCAGGCGAGGTAGTTAACATCTCCTAGCCACTGTGATGATGGTGGTGGTGGAACCCACGACCTCCTGTACACCAGGCAAGGTAGTTAACATCTCCTAGCCACTGTGATGATGGTGGTGGAACCCACGACCTCCTGTACACCAGGCGAGGTAGTCAACATCTCCTAGCCACTGTGATGATGGTGGTGGTGGAACCCACGACCTCCTGTACACCAGGCGAGGTAGTCAACATCTCCTAGCCAGTGATGATGGTGGTGGAACCCACGACCTCCTGTACACCAGGCGAGGTAGTTAACATCTCACCACCACGGTGCCGATGGCGACGCTCTCCCTCGTCCGCCTTCGTCTGCCGCACCGCTTACGGTAGACGCGAGTGCTTTCTTCTACTTTTTGGACTTACGTATCGTATAATATCCACTTATTTATATCTGCACTTTTAAATGTTAGTGTGCATCATAATTATAGGCAGGTTGAATAACACAATATAACACAATATATGTATTAAATGATATAAACATAGTTCACATGGTTTAATCGTAATATATATTCATGCCCCCTTACCCTAATTTCAAGTATTATTATTATTTCGTAGACTTAATATTTTCGCCGTTCTCCAGCAAAGTATTCCCCCCACCCCGCGAATATTAAACATTTACTGTACATGAGCACGACTCAAAAACCACTGGGTTTTGCACACGCAACTTGATGCATACATCTTGAGTTTAATAAGTGATGTTAAATAATCGAAGCATTATCACAAAACCCAAACAATATTCAGCATCAAGCCCTACATGGCTCTGTAGTAGAGCAGCTCGCAATCTGGAAGGATTTGGATTTCAAATCCTGGTTGGGGGATGGAGAGACTTGACCCATCATCCCATTGGGGTCAATAAAATTAGTACCACTTTGTGAGGAAGTCAACAGTGGGTAGTCCCTATGGAACGACGAGCCCAGTGTTCTTCACTAATTTTCAGAGGGGGGGGGCAGGGGCACACTTTCGCCAATAAGGCTGCATGAGTGTGAGGGCCACCACACCGTCTGCAAAGGGTGTTGCGTCACGTGTTGTGCCACGTGTTGTGCCACGTGTTGTGCCACGTGTTGTGTCACGTGTTGTGTCACGTGTTGTGTCACGTGTTGTGCCACGTGTTGTGCCACGTGTTGTGTATTGCTGGAGGGTGGGGCACACGTCAGGGGTCGCACTAAAGGCCACCAGGGGCCGCCAGTGGCCTGCGGGCCTTGCAATGAAGAACACGGGACTAGCCCCCCCCTTAGGAAAGCAGAATTTTCACCACTGGCTCAGAGCTGTAGACGAGAGATACACAATACCTCGATGCGTATTGGAGTAGAAAATCACTGACTTTGAAACAGAAAGAGGTTCAATTTATTTTATGCCTACGTGACTTTACCGAAAGAACCAAAGAGTATGGATTCCTGCAGTCACGAAAGCTTAAAATCAATATAGGTTCAATTAACTATTATTTAAGATTCCTATTTAACTTGGGGGGGGAGGGGCAAGTCAATGTTTTCATGGCTCACTGCTGTTGTAGCAAGCGTAACCTAACGGGTCCTGTGCTGGGCCGACTTGCAACAGAATGTTTCGGGCGCAGGCTGCGGTGGTACTCTGGCGAGCGGCCTTCCACGAGGCTCTTTTGGCCGCGTTATCTGGGCTTGGGGAAGATTCGTATGAAGAGGATCATCGTGATGAAGATGAAGCAGACGACCACCAGCATGATCCATATCCACCAGTTGGCAGCACGCTTCGTGTGCTGCTCCAGACGCTCTGACTCCACCTTCAGCTTCTCGTAGTTGACGTCCGCCATCTTGAGCGACTGCGTCATTGTCTGCAAGCGACGACGCAGAGGGGGGCGGCGTGGCGTAAGGGGGGGGGGGGGAGGTTGAGAGATAAGAGCCAGTGTTGGAATTGCCGAGTGATGGCGAGGAGACTTAGATGACCGATCTCGGACAGTCTTACAGAGCCTTGCCATCAACGTGTTCCAAATGGAGGTTTCAATCATTATAATAATAAAAATTGTAACACTGCCGGAGAGTATTCACTTCACTCTCCAAGAGAGATAATGACTCAAGGAGGCGTAAGAAACCACAGTCAGGTGGTGAGCCGGTGCGAGGAAACTGGAGCGCCTGGAGAAAACCCACACAGGCGAGCGGGTAACGCCGTCTCATTCCGATGCAACGGGTGGCACCACATTGCCGCTGCACCGCCTTCTCCTGGCGAGCCAGGGTACGGCACGGGAGTTTCACGTTTGTGTGATCCACCGATCCTCGCTTGCTGCCTCCACACGGTGCTGGATTACAAGTCACGTGCATAGCCATCACCACCCGGCAGTGCGCCCACAGCGGAGGCGAATTGTTAAATAACTACTCGTCACGTTGATGCTTGCAAAGACAAAAAATGTTTCATGATAAACGTTTTTTGGTTAGATCGCGTTATTTATAAATGTGTCGTAGCCCTCCACCACCCGACACGGCCAATCAGCAAAAATGCGTCACGTTGACAAAAGACAAGTAGTTCACTAGCTTTAGCCCACGGGTGTGTTGAAGAGTGAAACCATCACATTTACAATTTTTGAGTAGCACGACATTTCGCTGGTAATTGCATCCAGCATCATCGGGCAATTCGCCAGAATGGTGAGAGGCTCTGCTCTTGCTCCCGGTCTTAAATAGAATATTATTGGTCGCGAAAGCCTACGTGTTAAACTGACAAAAAAATTATTTTAAAAAACATTTACCCAGAATGCTTCACGATAAAGTCACGTGATTTTTGACGAATTTTTTTACGGAGCTAGCGATATACTTATCGTCATTTCAACAACGCGTAATGTTTATATCTCCCAGAGCACACACGTATTTCCATGCACTCTACCTTGTTGTCTTGCTGGATGATGTTGTGGGCAATAAGTGACGTGTTCTTGAGGTTGCGTGCAAGAAGCAGCATCTCATCTGCGAGCTTCTCTTGCATGTTGTTGTGATGCTGCAAAACCGCGTCGATATCTGCCGGCTGATTATCCGTCACACTTCCTGCACTGCATCGCACAATATTGCATTGTTTAGTCCCTGGCATTTAGCTCCAACTGTGCATGTACAAGAGGTGAGAAAATTTAATGCGTTCATTTTTAGTAGGTACAATACAATCACAATTAACCAAGTCCAAATCTGCACTGCGAAGATCGACGTGTAGCTATAATAGCCTGGCGCATTTATATCTAATTAAAGAGAGAGAGAAAAAAAACTTTGACGGTTACATTTTTAAGGAGGAATGTTTGGAGGGAACAAAATGTATACTCACGTTCGTTTCCTTACTCCTAAACGAAAACAAACATCAATTAAAAACTGTGAAGGGTTTTAAGTATGAACAAAAATAAACGTCATTATGTTTGCGATTGTTATGAATAAAATGTGCGTAGTTATTTACACATTTCCACTTACCATTTCCAAACTCGTTGGTCTAAAAGAAAAAGAATTGGGAAAAAAAGAATCACTTTAGTAGACCACAGGATTAATTGTTATTCTTCTTCTAAAAACTTAATTGATGAATATTGTTGTTATTCTGTCTCTCTGAATGATCTAATTTATGTGACAAGTTCAGCCAACAAATGCTGCAAAATGGTCAAAACACTAATTTTGTACCGCGTAATGCACGTAGAGTAGGTCACCGATGAAACGATGTAAATTGAGTTGCCATTAAAATGTGTTGCAAGACAACCTTGCGAAATGTTCATTTCACAAGTTCAGCTCATAATTCACACTTCTTGAGAATCCCAGGAAGGTCAAACCTACGACAAGCAGTTCTTTGACGCGTTCACGGGATGTTTCGCTTGTACTGCGTTGCGTTTAGTTGCACGATGTCTGACGTTGGGTGCGTTTTCAAGGAATTAAATGGTTTAAAACCAAAAAAAACTTCCAGGACGTGGAGCAAAACGTCGGACATCACGCTGAACAACACGCGGCAACAACCGGGAAACGCGTTGGCGAGCTACAACTGCACAACCGTGTATAACCTATAAAAAATCCTGCAAAGTAAATCTAAACAATGTGTTTTTTTAACAACTCATCGCACGCAATATTTGTCAGAAATGTTCCATAATAAATCCTGATTTGGCATCACTGGAGGCAACATGCTTACTAAGAATCCTTTCTGGACCCGCGGGACCTCCGGCGATCCTCACTCAAAACATTATTTCGTGGACCACAATTCGCCAACAACATTTTTCTCGAGTAAAAACTGCTGAAAATCTTAACATCTGAAAGGTTTCCGCAGATCCACTTCCCATGGCCTTGCGGGTTGATGAGCATCAACGGTCTGCGTGCCATAGGGCGAGAACAGCTGTTCTCGTGTTCGTATGACTCCGTCAGTGAGCTACTGTCGAGCGCTGTGCCGCAGTGAACGTTTTCTAACTTGAGAAACAACAACAAAAACACGTAGGCTTTCGCGACCAATATTATTCATAATCAACGTTTTTGGGGTTAGATCGCGTTATTTATAAATGTGTTGTAACCCTCCACCACCCGACACGGCCAATCAGTAAAAAAGTGTCACGTTGACAAAAGACAAATAGTTCACTGCTTTAGCCCACCGGAGTGTTGAAGCGTGAAACCACAACATTTACAATTTTTGAGTACGACGATTATAGCATAATTACAATAAAACACATTCCAACTGATTACTAATCTACAACTCGCATCGTAACAACTACCTGATTACTAATCTAGTATATAATTACAATAACCCCCCCCTCCGCCTCAAATCGTTGCACCTGATGAGTTAATGAGTTATGATGACGTCACCCTGCTGCTGCTCTATATAAGACCGGGAGCCAGAGCAGAGCCTCACCATTCTGGCGAATTGCCCGATGATGCTGGATGCAATTACCAGCGAAACGTCGTACTCAAAAATTGTAAATGTTGTGGTTTCACGCTTCAACACACCGGTGGGCTAAAGCAGTGAACTATTTGTCTTTTGTCAACGTGACACTTTTTTACTGATTGGCCGCGTCGGGTGGTGGAGGGTTACGACACACTTATAAATAACGCGATCTAAACCCAAAAACGTTGATTACAAACAACAAAAAGACTCACGGTGGATCCCAGCAGTTCGTCACGCATCTCCCCATGATAGCGAGCGCTGGCCTGCAGATGCGCAGTCTTGCTAGTCGGTGTAACCTCACTGGGTGTGGTGGGCGTACGTCCTGGAGCCAGCAACTGTGCTGCCAAAGCCTTCTCAGATGCTGTTGGCTGCGAAAAGGAATACAAAGCCACAAAAGTTAATTCTAGATTTGAAGCTTTCGTGACTGCAAGGATTCATACTCTTAGGTTTTTTCGGTAAAGTCACGTAGGGAAAAAAAAACAAATAATAAAAGATAATTTAAAAAAAGTTAGGGCCATGTTGCTCAGAAAGCTTTTACATAGTCACAAGCATACACACTGGAAGATGGTAGGTAGGGTGGGTGGGTGGCTTCGGAGTCAAGAGGATTGAGACAGCAGCTGTTAGATGCCGTGTTCAAATCTGGATAATCAGCCATCTGTAGTCAAACTGAGCTCTCAAGCGGAACGAGTTGATCTCGGTCTGGTAATCACTGCGCCAAAACGTCGGGAGAATTGTATTTTATTATGTTTTATTTTTATTATTTTATTATTTCCCTTCTACGTGACTTTACCGAAAGAACCAAGAAGACAGAACACGTTTGTTTAGTCACTTAAATTTGGCTAAACTCCAGCTCTGAAATAAATTTGATTGACGTACGATCAACCTTTGCAGGATGTTTAAAGTTCCTCCCATGGTGTGGATAAATAAGCCTGTTGCAGTGACCTCATAAGCCATTCTATGACAGAGGGTGATGCGATGCTGGCAGTCGGGTTCTGACTGGAAATGTGTCTTGTCTCATGATTTGAAGCTTAAAAATACAACTGGAATATAATTGTGCAAAAACATTTAACTTTCCTTTATACTCAAAACTAAACAGATTTGTCAATACTCTTTGGTTCATTCGGTAAAGTCACGTAGGTATAAAATAAAATAAATCACGACGTTTCGGGCGCAACACAAGTGTCCGTCATCAGGTGGTGAAAGTGTGGCCTGCTGCTGATGCAGACTGTTTTAAAAGGTTTGAAATGGGTGTAGCCAAAGGGTCATTAAGAGGTGGCCGGGGCTAGTGATGTTAATGTGAGAGATTAGCATGTAACTGTAAGATAGGAGGAGAGCGGCCTCCTGGACGAGGGCACGGAAGTGACTATGTTAATGTGAGAGATTAGCATTATGTTAATGTGAGAGATTAACATTATGTTAATGTGAGAGATTAGCATTATGTTAATGTGAGAGATTAGCATGATGTTAATGTGAGAGATTAGCATTATGTTAATGTGAGAGATTAGCATGATGTTAATGTGAGAGATTAGCATTATGTTAATGTGAGAGATTAGCATGATGTTAATGTGAGAGATTAGCATTATGTTAATGTGAGAGATTAGCATGATGTTAATGTGAGAGATTAGCATGATGTTAATGTGAGAGATTAGCATGATGTTAATGTGAGAGATTAGCATGATGTTCATGTGAGAGATTAGCATGATGTTAATGTGAGAGATTAGCATGATGTTAATGTGAGAGATTAGCATGATGTTAATGTGAGAGATTACCATGATGTTAATGTGAGAGATTAGCATGATGTTAATGTGAAAGATTAGCATGATGTTAATGTGAGATCTAGCTAAGAGATATTATCATGATGTTAATGCGAGAGATTAGCATGATGTTAATGTGAGAGATTAGCATGATGTTAATGTGAGAGATTAGCATGATGTTAATGTGAGAGATTAGCATGATGTTAATGTGAGAGATTAGCATGATGTTAATGTGAGATATTAGCATGATGTTAATGTGAGAGATTAGCATGATGTTAATGTGAGACATTAGCATGTTAATGTGAGAGATTAGCATGATGTTAATGCGAGAGATTAGCATGATGTTAATGTGAGAAATTAGCATGATGTTAATGTGAGAGATTAGCATGATGTTAATGTGAGAACTGTGAAAAATGTGTCAATACGTATACAATGGGTGGCATATCAGGAAATGACTCTTCTTTGTAGTACTCTATACTGCCTTAAAGTGTACATTTAAAAATGTAGATACACGGCAATTCACTTTTACCTACCAGCTTTTCTGCCAGCAAAAGTCCTTTTAGGAACTCCACTTTGGTGGTGTATTCCTTCAGCAATTCTGGAGATGGTTTGCTATAAAAAAAAAAGTGAAGTCAATTCATTTTTGGATAACATGTGGTGCCCTTCTGGAACAAATCTGCAATCCAAAGCGCTGTCACATCATTTAAATATTTTTTTAAACCTATACAGTAACAAAAAAAGAATGCAAAGCAAGTTGTGGCTGTGAGTTGGCTGTTAAACAAGAATTTAGGCATAGTCTTTGACCTCGCAAATGTCCTACTGATAGTAATACATAATGTGTTCACTGCTGATAAAAACAATAAAAGTTAATCAGACAGTAGTAAGTCTTCTTAGATCACGTTTACAATAAACAAGCTTTAAACTAAAAACAATTTTTTTTGTTGAAAGCTTTAAATGTAAGCTCTAAATGTAGTCATTTGAATAAATAAAATTATCTTAAAACCTTACCTCGCTTGCCTTTTCAATTCGGCTAGTTGATCTTGTAACGCTCCAATGTACTAGGACATAAAAAAACATAACGTATGAACTAAAATAAATACAACATTAAGTACTTAAACATATTTTCCACACGTTCAAACACAGCGTAATGAGTTATTACGAATTACTGTGGCATTACAAGTTCCTCTGCAGCCTCATGAGGACCCCAGCAGTTTCAACTCGCAGCGTATCACCAAATCGCTTTTCTTCATATACGCATCAACGTTCGAAGGGAATTGAAAAAGTATTTCACTGTACAAATTCATACTTTAGGTCCAATTATAACATGCGTGTCGCGAGGAAGGAGTGAGCTAAGAGAGATCCCGCAGACACGCTGACACTCACGGCATGGGCAGCGCGAAACGAAACATCAGCCAAGAGAGAGCACACGTTAGACGTAACTAAAACACCGAGACAGAGAGACAGGAATACGGATAGTGACAAAACAAAAATTACGGAGAGATTCATAGATACATAGAGACAACACGAAAATAGACGATTAAACAACACACACATGTGGATAGAGCTGTCTGGACATAGCTACATCGAGTGGTTGGTGAATCCATACCTGTTAACCCATAAAGTTTACCCGTACTCTTGTACAGGGAAATTTAGTTCTCAGGTCCATACGGCGTACGGCCGTTTCAATACCATACATTTTTTAAATCCTTTAAATTAAGTTTGCTTGCTTGCTTAGTACCGTGCAAATCTTTCGGTCGTTTTTTAACCCACTTCCCGTGATCCAATCGAGCTGACATTTTGCACACAGACTCGTTGTGCGAGACAATTAATGTTCGTGAAAACATTTTTCCAAAATGTTACACTTTTTAGGACAAAAATATTATATTTAATTACCAATTGCTTAATGGTGCAATGCAATCATCTGACCCATAGGTGGCAGCCATCTCAAGTCAGAGGACGAGAGGACTCTAGCCGCCACGCATATAAAGGATTTATAGTGAAAAACTTTGTTTTTACTGGTTATACTTATTTTGTTTATGTCTATCGGTTTGTGTGTCTCCCTTGTGATGGGACTTTGTAGGATGAACGTTGAGATGTACGAGGGCACGGGGTGACCAATAAGCTCTGACTTCTTCTTGGTTCTTTCGGTAAAGTCACGTAGAAGGGAAATAATACAATAATAAAAATAAAACATGAAAAAATAATTCTCATTATTTTATTATGTTTTATTTTTATTTCTCATTATTTTATAATGTTTTATCTTTACTATTTTATTATTTCCCTTCTACGTGACTTTACCGAAAGAACCAAGAAGATGAATCCCTGCAGTCACGAAAGCTTTAAATCGAAATTTAAAGGTCTGACTTAATTCTATATTAAGGTAGGGCACTGATAAGGGGTTGTGGCGGGTGTGTGAATCACACAATCTCCTTGACCACGTGGTTTTCTCCGGGTGCTTCGGTTTAGTCCAACAAGTGTGAATACTCATCGGTGGCCAAACACACCTTCACATACAAAGGGCGGCAGAGCTTGGTGCAATTGCTGGCGACGGCTCACCGCCTATGGGTCCGTCCATAAATGACGTCACGCGATTTTTGCCGATTTTTTACCCCTCCCCCCTCGTCAAACGGCGTCACACAAAAAGTCAGAACCCCCCTCAAATATGATGTCACAAAGCTCTGCCCACCCCCCCTAAAAAATAAAACTTGCTTCAAATCGCTTTAAACTATTGTCATTGTAGTGTGTATTAAATGTGGCGCTGCACTCTGATGTTGTAGGAGAAAACATTTATTAAAAAGTCTATTTAATTAAGTAGAACGTGTTGTCTATATTTAGTTAAAGTTGTGCATTTTGATGCGACGTCACATTTCTCAAACCCACCCCCTCGTCACACATCGTCACAAATGTCTGACCCCCCCCCCCCCCCAGGTGCGTGACGTCATTTATGGACGGCCCCATATATTCGTTGAACTTATTTCGCACCGTACATTAGCCAACCGTGCTAATCGGAGGTGTGCGTGGAAGGACAACAAACTAAACGCAAAAAGCAGTTCTGAAAGGCATGAGTTGTCAATCAAGATGATGACTTAAAAGTGCATAGCGCCCGAGGCTTCCTAATATCGGGAGGAACATTCCAGACGGCCGCAGAGGCGCATATTGAAAGCCTCGCTGCCATGTGGCATTTCGTCTCAGAGTCGTGCTCTCTCTCTCCTCGAGTGTGAACAAATACCGTGCGCGTTACAAGCTGAACGTATTATTAAGAAGTACAGAGCAGAACACGTCGATACAAATATTTAACAAGTATAACCCGTAAAAACAAAGTTTTTCACTATAAATCCTTTATATGCGTAGCGGCTAGAGTCCTCTCGTCCTCTGGCTTGAGATGGCTACCACCTATGGGTCAGATGATTGCATTGCACCATTAAGCAATTGGTAAGTAAATAGAATATTTGTCCTAAAAAGTGTAAAATTTTGGAAAAAATTTTTGACGAACATTAATTGTCACGCACAACGAGTCTGTGTGGAAAATGTCAGCTCGATTGGATCACGGGAACTGGGTTAAAAAACGATCTAAAGATTTGCACGGTCGTAAGCAAGCAAGCGAACTTAATATAAAGGATTTAAATAGGTATAACCCGTAAAAACAAAGTTTTTCACTATAAATCCTTTATATGCGTGGCAGCGAACTTAATATAAAGGATTTAAAAATATATTCGCCTGTGGAGGACGCGGGGATTGATCCCGCGACCTTTGGCATGGGAAGCGAGGGCGCTACCAACTGCGCTACTCCGCCACGGCCTGTGGAGGGGTTACGCTCTGGGCTCTTACACTCTGACGTTCAACCAAAGCCATGAATGCGTTCTATTTGAATATATGTAAAATAAAAATTTTTTGCCTAAAAAGTGTAACATTTTGGGAAATTTTTTTTCACGAACATTAATTGTCTGGCACAACGAGTCTGTGTGGAAAATGTCAGCTCGACTGGATCACGGGAAGTGGGTTAAAAAACGACCGAAAGATTTGCACGGTCGTAAGCAAGCAAGCACGCAAGCAAGTGAACTTAATATAAATAACTTAAATAAGTATAACCCGTAAAAACAAAGTTTTTCACTCTAAATCCTTTATATGCGTGGCGGCTAGAGTCCTCTCGTCCTCTGGCTTGAGATGGCGGCCACCTATGGGTCAGATGATTGTCTGCCAGTATTAAACAATTAGTAATGAAATATTTTAAAAAAATTTTGCACGGTCGTAAGCAAGCGCGCAAGCAAGTGAACTTAATATAAAGGATTTTAAAAAAACACAGACACACTCGGACACATCAGTGAGACATCGCAGACAAATACAAGACAAGTAGAAAGTTGCCCGTCTTGGCAACATCGCGATCAAGTCCTGACATGGAACTCCACAACCAACTAGGAGGGGAAGGGGGGGGGGGCACCTCTGGTGCTCCACTCCCGCCGGGCGACCCGCGCCTATTCCCGGCCAAATTCTAGGCAAGCCCCGTGCCTCGCCTCGGGCCTATCTGTGGACGCGGCGGCTTTTTATTTTTAGACATATATTTTTTAAAGGGAGAGTCATAGGGCCTACGCCTTTTACCTTGTCGAGGCGCCAGTCGTGACCTCTGTTGTCCGCGACCAGCGACTCGCACCTTGCGAGAAGTCGCACGAAATTGATTTGCAGGCGACCGCCCGACATCGCGACACGGGCCAGCGGCGAGTTTGGCCGGCGCTTACCGTAAAGCACGGTGGGGGTCGTGAAGTGGGGATCGTTTGTGTCGTAAAGAGGTTTATATGTCGTTGCGTGTCGGGCCGTAAAGTGCCAGCTGGGTCACCTCCCCCCACCACGTCCACGTGGATTGTTGAGTCGTCATCAGGATTTCAGTTTCATTTATTTGGTAGAGCCCTGTGAGCCATTCGGCTCTTGAATCGGGTGCAACCGCAACAAACAAAAAACAAAAACATGAAACAAAAACATGAACAAGAAAACATCTTAAAGTGACCATGTGACTATGTGCAAACAGAAAATCCAGGAAAAGACAGCAAAATATTGCAGAAAAAATTAACCCGTAAAAACTAAATTTTTCACTATAAATCCTTTATATGCGTGACATCGGTTATATTTTATTATTCATTTCTGTTTTTCTTGAGTAAGAGTTTCATTTTTATCACATTGGTATTTTAAATGAAATATGAAGAAAAAAAATTCCTAAAAAGTGGAAAATTTCGGAAATGTTTTTCACGAAAATAAATTGTCACGCACAACAAGTCTGTGTGCAAAATGTCAGCTCGATTGGATCACGGGAAGTGGGTTAAAAAACGACCGAAAGATTTGCACGGTCGTAAGCGCGCAAGCAAGCAAGCAAGTGAACTTAATATAAAGGATTTAAAAAACACCGTACACCAACGCTGTGTGCAAAAATTCCACTGGGATGCAAGTCAAACAACAACAACAAAAACCACAAGACAACTTAGATTAAGGCCATCAGTCTAACTCCGTAGTACAACAAACAAACATGGCCAAACCAAAACACTTTTCGAAATCACTCAAATAAAGCCATAGAAGCGATGTAACAGTGATCATAGGAACTGTGACCGAATCTTCACAATAAACGACATAAACAACATGTACCACCAGACGATTTTTGACCCCCCCCCCTCGTCACACGGCGTCACAGAAGTCAGAACCCCCCCCCCCCCAAAACCATATTTCCATTTTAAAAATAAAACATGCTTCAAATCGCTTTAAACTATTGTCATTGTAGTGCGTATTTAATGTGGCGCTGCACTCTGATGTTGTAGGAATTTTTATTATTATTAAAAAGTCTATTTAATTAAGTAGAACGTGATGTTTATATTTATTTTAAGTTGCGAATTTTCATGTACACGTCACATTTCTCCCCCCCCCCCCATCGTCACACATCGTCACAAATGTCTGACCCCCCCCCCCCCCGGTGCGTGACGTCATTTATGGACGGCCCCAAATTCGCACACTACTAGAGAGTTTTTAATTTTCTATTTGTGCATCAGGTATCCGCGTCTGCCATGGTTTGTGCGAATGAAGTTTAGGGTGGACCCCGATCAAAACCAGGCGACCTTCTGCGTTGACCCTTTCACAAGATGAATACAGATCGCGATTAATCAACTTGCTGTACTGCCTCCTCGTGGCAAGCCAGGGTTATGGCACCTCGACGCACACAGGAAATGAGTTTCACCAATTCACGCTGCCTCCACAGGGCTGAATTACAGGCATGAATAGCCCACACCCCCCGGCTAATGGCATTTAGCCCCTGAACATATTGCTGCCATAATGCAAGTGTAGAATTGTAAACGTTATTCGTTTCATTATAGCAGGACAATTGTCAATGAAACTAAGTGTTTGGCGATGCTGCGTTGACAGTGGATACACAGCCATAATTTCAAAGGATATACACAGGCGACGTTTCGGAATATGACCCTTGGATCTGTTATGAAGGACTGTAATTGGCCGAAAATTTAGAGGTCAATTAATTGGGGGGGGGGTCACAATACATCTGGACAACCCTGTACGCAGCGTTCTTCATTCCAAGATCCGCTGGCGGCCCCTGGTGACCTTTCGTGCGCACCCCCCCCCCCGACACAAAACACAGTGACAACACTGCCCCATCATCACCATCATCATCGCCATCACCATCATCACCATCATCATCACCATCGCCATCATCATCACCATCATCACCACCATCATCATCACCACCATCATCATCACCACTATCATCATCACCATCATCATCGCCATCATCATCACCATCATCACCACCATCATCATCACTACCATCATCATCATCACCACTATCATCACCACTATCATCGCCATCATCATCACCATCATCACCAACATTATCATCACCAACATCATCATCATCACCATCATCATCACCAACATCATCATCACCAACATCATCATCATCACCATCATCACCACCATCATCATCACCATCATCACCATCATCATCATCACCATCATCATCACCATCATCATGATCACCATCATCATGATCACCATCATCATCATCATTACGATCATCATCATCATCACCATCATCATCACCATCATCACCATCACCACCATCATCATCACCATCATAACCATCATCATCACCATCATCATCGGCCTGCTGTCAAACCCCCAAAGTGTCTCATGGAGTGGCGGCACCTCGCACAACTGACGACGTCGTATCGACTAAAATGAGTGAAGAAAGCTTCCTCGACAATACCGCAACACCGGCGGTGGTCCGGGCCAACAATGCGATGTGGCGGAACGGCGATTGCCCCGGCAGCAATCGCAGTTGCAATGTCGAGGCGTTAGATGTCGTGAGTCGACAAGCCGTGGTGCGAGGCGTCACCTCGCTCGCCACGAGCCGTGCGTCCTCACCCTGAGCCCCATCGTCCCATGCGCCCTGCGCCTCCAATGTCCCTCGACCCCAACCACACTCCTCGACAGCTCTTCACCCACACGCCCTGAGCTGGTCAGCAGGCAACAACAGTAAAATCCAAAATACCACAAGAAAAGACTGTTTTCCAAACTCACCCAGAATGCACAATAACAGTATTATTATTTTTTAATGCACGTCGCAATTAGAACGACATTGTTCAAACACGATTTCGGCCTCCCCGATTATGTGAAATACGGTACCATCAGATGCCCACAAAAGCAAACGTAATGCAGTTAAGCTGTAACAGAAATGTAGTGTTCTACTTACATTCCTGTGTTTTTGAGGTTGGTTGGGGGGACGGCGGTGGTGGACCCAGAGAGCCGAGTTCAAATTCTGGCCAAGATTCACATCAGTGACAAGTTGATTTTTTAAATCCTTTATATTAAGTTCACTTGCTTGCTTGCTTGCGCGCTTACGACCGTGCAAATTTTTCGGTCGTTTTTTAACCCACTTCCCGTGATCCAATCGAGCTGACATTTTGCACACAGACTCGTTGTGCGTGACAATTTATTTTCGTGAATTTTTTTTCCAAAATTTTACACTTTTATTAAAAAATTAATTATATTTAATTACCAATTGCTTAATGGTGGCAGGCAATCATCTGACCCATAGGTGGCAGCCATCTCAAGCCAGAGGACGAGAGGACTCTAGCCGCCACGCATATAAAGGATTTATAGTGAAAAACTTAGTTTTTACGGGTTAATTTTTTAAATGGTCCTGATCCACCTCTCACCCCCCCCTTCCCCTTCCTGTCTTCACGAACCCACACGAACCCACACGAACCGGCGTGGTGAAATATGCTCAATCAATCCCCTCCCCCCCCACCCCCGCTATGGCCGGCAAACCATCGAGCAGTTGGTTGACATACATAGTGTAAAAATTCTTACAATTGACATTAAACACATTTAGAACACATTTGGAGTGTAAACCACCAAGGTCATATGTAAATGTTTATCAACACCCCCCCACCACCACCTCTATTACCAACAAATAAAGCTAGTGCAAAAAACAATCACTACTACACATCGCTAACCCTACACTGACGCCCCCCGTTTCTCCGCTCGCACAAGCGGATCGTGAAGAGCGGTCGTGTGCCTGTGCGAGGTGTGCGCGCAGGACGCTGCCAACACGACCGGGTCGGGATCGAACCCACGAGCTCCTGCATACCAGGCGAGGTAGTTAACATCTTCTAGCCACCGTGGTGCCCAATCCAGAAGCAACCATTCCTTCCCTACGAATTCGAGGCTCACACTCGTTGGGCCGTTGAGAAGCTCTCGCGTCCTAAACCCCGCTGTGCTGCAGGAGCCAAATGTCACTTCGCAGCGCCACGGCAAAGTGCGTCGCGTTCATTGCAGCCAACAAATGGCGTGATATGGCCGACATTGATGCCGTTTGCCGACAAGCTGTCGCTCACAGTAACAGGATGGCGCGATGGTTCTGAGATGGTTCCACGCTCTGCGCCAGGAAAATGGCCATCACTTTGATTCCCGGCCGCGGATAAAATCGGTGGCAAGCGATGTCCGAACCGGTTTCTGAGCATCCCCAAAGTCAAAGCAGCCTCGGTGTGGTGTGCGAACAAACGCACTGGAGAACAAAGGTAGCTGCTGGCGCGTGGTACTGGAAACTCCATACCCTCATTCTCCCACTATTTATGTACGAGTCTGTTTCGGTGTGCATGTGAATCTGTTTATGTGTGGGTATGCATGCCTACTTTGGGGAGTGATCGTGTAGTGGTTAGATCACTGTGCTAGCAACACGGTGACCCGAGTTCGATACCTCCCCAAGGTCAACTCAACCATAAATTGAGTATCTGGTAAGATGTATAAATATTAGCACTGGGGAAACAAAGGTGGCCGGGTGTGGTCCTGGCCACCCGCACCCGTTCGTGTACCGTATTGGCCTAGGTAGGTGCTCGCCAAAAGTACTTTCCCCCCAAGAGTTTAAGGCCACAAGGGTGGATCTGTCCTTGTGAATGAGTGTCTGTTTACGTACGCGTACACACACCTCTGTGCAAAGGGTTGCGGTTCACCGAACTTTCGTTGTCTCGTGACCTCATGTCGACGGAGCTTTTGTAAATCCACGTGGCTTCAAAGTGCACCGAGGGCCACGCCGTTGCCGCAACTTAACGGCAAACGGGAGTTGGTTGCCGTGTGTATGCGCGCACACTTATTTTACAGCATTCGGAACCAGAGAACGCTCTGCCCCCTGGTCCCTATTATAACACGATAACTTGTTCATAAACGCTCTCAAAATCATTGCTAAAGTCTGACTCTCTCTCTCTCGATATGTTCCCATCATATTTAACACAATGAGAGGTCACGTGAGCCCATTACACAAACAACGGTCAAAAAGTCAAGTGATGTCCTGTCGCTCTGAGCTTTGAGGGCATCGGTGCTCATCCTGTTTGTAGCCCTGAGTACAGTGTTCCAAGTTCCACATCTCCTGCAGAAGACAAACACTGTTGACTTCCCCCACATTGCTATTTATTTTATCGATCCTCCCTCCCCGAAGGATGGACGAGGGGCCGAGCCAACACCTCTCCCCCACCCCGCCTGCCCCAACCAGGATGTGCACTCGCCGCATTCCGATTGCAAGCCACTCGCTCTTCCGCTGACCCATCTGGCCCGTCATTAACACATTGTCCTGCGGAGGGAGCTGGTAGGAACGTTGGGTGGCTCGGTCAATGGCCAGGGTCAACGGCGGCGTGGTGTATTCCGTAAATATGCCCGACTGTGAGGGCGGGCACAAGCCGGCGTGAGTAGGTTAAACGTTGAGTTATATAAGGGCACCACGGGGTGACAAGCCCTTCCCCAACCAGCCCCACCCCTCCCACCCCCCATCCAGCCCCACCCTCCCCACCCAGCCCCTCCCCACCCTCCCCTCCCCACCCAGCCCCTCCCCACCCAGCCCATCCCCACCCAGCCCATCCCCACCCTCCCCTCTCCACCCAGCCCGACCCTTCCCATTTTTGGATGCACGACGGACGGACGGACACAATAATCCCCTGTGGGCTGGTGGAACCAGGTGGTTCCTACCAGTAATATACGATTCTCACTGGAATGATGCGAAGCGTGCAATAGGTTGACCTTAACCACGCAGCCGCTGAAAGGCTGCTACAACATTTACCACGATGATACAAAAAAAAGAAAAAAATTATTCTTGCATCGAATCTCGACGATGCAGCAAAACGCCACCAGGAAAATTGTGACGTCCTGGATGAATATCCCTATCGATACTCTGACTCTCTCATAGTACCTAAAGGCACGTATTGGCTTGACGATTGAAAGAATTATCCGTGGAATGTCAAAATATTTAACTTATTAAATTACAATAGAATATATTACACAGGTCTCTATGCTTTTTTTGGTTATTGATTTCAGTGTCAGGAAACCCGCAGAGTTACAGCAGACAAATTCAGGAGGCCCCTTCAGTCACGTCTCTGGGCCAAAGTTTTCCCCTCTACTCCCCCATGTCTCCCCTCCTCGTGTCTCCCTCTGCCTCTTCGCCCCCTTGTCTCTTATCATGGCATTCCGCTCTCTCAATTCTCCCTTCTCTCCGTCTCTTCTTCTATCTCATCCTATCTACCCTCCCCTCTCCGTGTCTTCAAACTCCTCCTTGTGTCTTCCCTCTCCTCCCCACGTCTTCCTCCTCCTCCACCCGCTCCTCATATCTCCCCGCTACTCCCCGTTTTCTCTCCTCCCTCCAAGTCTCTCACATCTCGTCAGCGTGCGTCGACTTGACGACATCGGCCACATTGCCCAGCGCAGCCTCCCCGTCTCCGACCGCAACACTGGGCACGCCAACCGGGCCTGGCGCCTCCGCAACCACATCTTTGATGGCAGCCACACAATTTGTGGCGTTTCCACAGCCCGCTTTCACCACGTCATCCACTGCTGCTGTTGCCGATGATGATGATGATGATGACGACTGCGATGGCAGATTTTCAGGGATGCTGGGAGGGCCGGCGGCAGCCATAGCTTGACTTCCTGGTGACCCTGCTGGCACGACCCCCTCAGGTTGCGGCAGGTTAGGCTGCTCTGGCTCCAGGTTTTCTAGGGGAGATTCGATCCCCTTTAGTGCCCTGGACAGCACCGCTGCAATACAGGAAGGGGGAAAATCGTAAAATGACACATTTAATGATCCTAAAGTTTTAAGGGATTTCTATGGTTATCACGGACACTACTCCCGCACTCCTGAGACCCTCGGATTACATCCAGGTTTCAGCTGCCAATGATAGCATTAGTTTGCAGAGGTGTTTGTAATTCTCGGAAGTTGGATAGATTATATTTCATTGACGAAACCAAGTTGATTACAATGGCTTTTAAGTAGAGTCATTAGCAACGGGGCTGAGGCCACTTTACTCGATACACTTGGAAACTCGGTTTTGGCAACGGGGCAGCTGCCTCCATCTGAACCCTGCGATCTTAACACTGCGAGATGGGAATGTTTCATGGGAGTGCTGAAATGCGAAAGAACGCGCTTTACAATCGTCAAACTTGTCACAAGTGACAGGGTCACGCGACGGACATGGAAGGGCGAATCCATCGGCCGCTATTTATTTCGTGACAAACTAAGCGATGGCCTGCGCCATTCTGTAAAATTTCGCAGCAACTGTTCGGAATTTGACACTTGCAAAGACGCAGCGTCACCCTTATGCGACGGTGGCATCTGTTTATGTGAATGGCGCCATCAGAAGCCATGATCTCTCCGCTGCTGTGTGAGTGCCCCCTGCAGGCCAACGGAGTTCCAGCAGGTGGCATGGAATCCGATAAACGCAAAATCTAACGTGGCCACAGGCCGACCCGTTGTTGTTTTTAAAACGTCATTTACACAGCGGGCGTTCATATGACGCACGCAAGAGCCCAATTCCAGAAACCCCGGTATTATTCTCGCAATTCCGTGACCACTCTCAATTGCAGACAGGTGTCAGGGTCGCTGAACGGGGTGCCATGTCCGCTTGTATGTTCACGTACTTATTTTTAGTAGACTCTCGGTTATCCTGGATTTGAAGCTTTCGTGACTGCAAGGATTCATATTCTTAGGTTTTTTCGGTAAAGTCACGGAGGTAATCCGCTGCTATTGACTTGGAGGACAGCAATCGCGGACAACCACAACTATCTATTTTCCACGGATCTCTATGCCAAAAACCACAACTATAGGTATAGTAACGGCCGACCGATCGATGCGCGCGCTCAGTGATAACACTTTACTGCTCCCGCCCAGCCAAAGACTCGGCCCACTAAGTGGATGATAGCGGCAGAGCCACGGCAAGAAAAATCAATCAAACTCTGCCCACTACCGTACTGTAGGGGCGATCACGTGGATTTAGGATTAATCGGAGCACATATTAGCTCTGTTTTAAGCACGTGACTTCTAATAATCTCCAAGAATAACGATGTATAGCTGTTTTTAGATGATTACTTTGTGATTCAGCGAAACTCCATGAGTTAATTTACGTAAAAATCTCAGGTGCGCGGTCAAACCGGAAACCGGAAAAACTGCACGCGGATAATGGAGAGCCTACGACGTGAGCGCAGCATCTCACCTCCCTCGGGTGTATAGAGCTCCTGAGTGGCGTTCTTCGACGAGCCGAATGGGCTGTAGTTGGGGAAGACGAGGAGTGCGAAGCACAGCAGGAACACCTTCGCAACGACGGGGGGGGGGGCGGGGAGGCAGGTAAAAGACATTTGAAAAGTCGAACCAAGCGCTGTTAATAATAAAAACAAAAAAAATTGTTAATTCTAGATTTTAAGTTTTCGTGACTGCAAGGATCCATACTCTTTGACGGACGCTTGTGTTGCGCCCGAAACGTCGTGATTTTTATTTAATTTTCACCTACGTGACTTTACCGAAAGAACCAAAGAGAATGAAAAAATGGTGGCTCTCTTTCGTGGCTGTGAGAGGGACGTGAACCCCACTGCTAACAACGTACAGGGACTCCTCTACTGACGAACGAGTTATGTTCCAGAGGTCTGTTCGTACGTCGAGTTGTTCATAAGTCTAACTTTACTCCTGTCGATTCCAAACGTTGTACGGCGTGTACACTAAACACGGGGAATGACTTGAAAAGTTGTATAATCTCCTGTAGATGTAGATGCCACTGGTTCTTCACGTTCTGTAGATGCCACTGGTTCTTCACGTTCTGCAGATGGAGATGTCACTGGTTCTTCACGTTCTGTAGATGTATATGCCACTGGTTCTTCATGTTCTGCAGATGTAGATGCCACTGGTTCTTCACGTTCTGCAGATGTATATGCTACTGGTTCTTCATGTTCTGCAGATGTAGATGCCACTGGTTCTTCATGTTCTGCAGATGGAGATGCCACTGGTTCTTCATGTTCTGCAGATGGAAATGCCACTGGTTCTTCACGTTCTGCAGATGTAGATACCACTGGTTCTTCAGGTTCTGGAGATGTAGATGCCACTGGTTCTTCACGTTCTGCAGATGTAGATGCCACTGGTTCTTCACGTTCTGTAGATGTAGATGCCACTGGTTCTTCACGTTCTGTAGATGTATATGCCACTGGTTCTTCAGGTTCTGGAGATGTAGATGCCACTGGTTCTTCACGTTCTGCAGATGTAGATGCCACTGGTTCTTCACGTTCTGCAGATGGAGATGCCACTGGTTCTTCAAGTTCTGTAGATGTAGATGCCACTGGTTCTTCACGTTCTGCAGATGTAGATGCCACTGGTTCTTCATGTTCTGCAGATGGAGATGCCACTGGTTCTTCATGTTCTGCAGATGTAGATGCCACTGGTTCTTCATGTTCTGCAGATGGAGATGCCACTGGTTCTTCATGTTCTGCAGATGTAGATGCCACTGGTTCTTCATGTTCTGCAGATGTAGATGCCACTGGTTCTTCATGTTCTGCAGATGTAGATGCCACTGGTTCTTCATGTTCTGGAGATGTAGATGCCACCACCGCCATCTATTTCGCGGCGGTTGAACTTACGAGCCTCGGTCCAAACAGGCAACTGGACATACGGACAGGTTTGTTCGTATCTCTCAAAGTTCGTAAGTCGAACGTTCGCAAGTAGAGGAGTCCCTGTATATGAGAATCGTGCATTAAAATGTGGGAATATCGCGACGCGCTCACCATGACGCAGGTGCTCGTCTGCGCCGCTTTGCTGGACGTCTGCGTCACCATGGCCTGCAGCTTCTTGAGCTGCGTCACCAACGTTCTGGCACGCACACGGGGCCACCGCCAATGACTCGTGCGCACGCCACGTACTTTTCGGTGCGTTAACGCGCGATCGTGACGATTGCTCTCGTGCGCGTTTAACCAGGAGGGCCTCAATGATGCTTCGTCATGTCCTGCTAAGTTTCGATTTAAAGCTTTCGTGACTGCGGGGATTCATCTTCTTGGTTCTTTGGGTAAAATAATAAAATAAAATAAAACATTTGTTATTTGATTATGTTTTATTTTTATTATTTTATTATTTCCCTTCTACGTGACTTTACTGAAAGAACCAAGAAGATGTCCTGCTAAGTTTACACAGAGGGGATGATTTTGCGATGAGTTTTACCAATTGAGTAATGTGCAGTTCGTTTGTCGGCATCGGGATGTTTGATCAATACCAGTTACGTTGTGTGCGTTTTTTAAGCTACGGGAGGAAACCGAAGAACCAAGAGGAGCCGAATGCACAACAGGGGCAGAAGATACAGACTCCAAAGGCAAAGACCCCCCGTATAGCCTTAAGAGACTGTTGGGGCAAGTGCTGTTAGCGAGTACCTATGAAGGCCGACACACGAGGGAGTGGGTGGCCAACACCACGCCTGATTGCCTTTGTCTCCCTGGTGGCGAAGTTAACACACTACACCAGGTACTCATATGAGGCTGAGTTGACCTAGGGGAGGCCCAATAATCATCGCTGGTCTTGGCCATGAGCGAGAATCAAACTCGGGTCGCCGGGTTCGTAGCGCATTACCGCTCGCAACATACAAACTCCACGCAAAAAGGTGCTTGAGTTGGAATTGAACCCAGGAAATGTGTTGCTCTGAGGCCAAGTGTTACCATTGCATCACCCTGCCACCCTTGGATGCGATTAGAGTTCTGGTCAAATGAGGTTCAATTGCCATTAAGTTTCGATGCACTGTTTGCCCTTATTTGCGAGTCTGTTATTCGATGGCACAGACATTAATTGTGCGCTGCCTTGCTGTATTGCGCGAACACGTATGAGCATATTGGCAATCAACTGCTGGACGTAGGGGGATTATTTAAACGTATCTCACCACGCTGGTCACGGCGGGTTTGGCGAAGTCGTGCAGCGGACGTGAAAGCACAGAAGTAGAACACGATTGATTTTGCTACACCGCGCTGCGCCGCCCACAACGTAGCCCCACAGCCGCCAGTCGACAGCACGGTTGGTTACGTACGATGCTAAAGAAGTTCAACATACGGACATACGATAGCTGTTTTATGCCCGTGCAAGCACGTGCAAGCACTATCAAAGGCTTATAACCTGCTTATCTTTCAAGATCTGACACAATCGAGGTGAATATCGGGTGATATCACAATAGGCAGTGGATTGTACGTCGTAAAGCATTTGAATTAACTGACACAGCAATTCGGAGATTACTGACCTACCCTCTCAATCCAGCGACCTAAGTTCGATTCTCAGCCACCGCTGCCAGTTTGCTATCAATACCGGTCCCGGGCCCAAATCCCCCCGCCAACCCACGCCGACCAACGCGGTGAAGTATGGTCAAACAATCCCCCCATGACCGCCGCCAAACTGTGGACAGACACGGGGCTGTAGGTAATGCTCGTAAAATAGGTACCGCACCCACCCCCCCCCCGGGAGTATCACAATGCTTTAAGTGAGTGAGCGGAGTTTGCAAGAGCCAAAGAAAAAAACCCACATGTTCTGTGCCTCCAGCTGATCCACTTTCCTCTTCAGCTCCTCGTTCTGATTGCTGCAGGCCGCCACCCTGCACGCCACGATCACCGCCTCACAGTGAAAGCCACGCAGGCCAGGGCCGGGGAAACATCGCTCAGGTGCGGGGACACATTGACAGCCTACCACCTGATAATTGTTTTTTTACCCTTTTATCTGGCAACAAAACTGACACCTTTTTTTACAAGGAGTCATGTTTGCATAGACCACAATACCTGCAGTCATAATGCAAACAAAAAAAACAACTTTGATAATGTATGCACTGTCCTTGAAGTTGATTGGTCCACACCTGAGACAGCTTTCCTTAGAGCCTAGTCTCACATGGTGTTGGACCAGATGACGCCAAAAGGCGCACAACTCAAAGACAATGCACCATCAGAGTATGAGAGCTCGGGGTAAGCATTTACACCGTTGGAACCTCATTTGCCAGAAGAAAAAATATGATAATTGTTTTTTTACCCTTTTATCTGGCAACAAAACTGACACTTTTTTTTACAAGGAGTCATGTTTGCATAGACCACAATACCTGCAGTCATAATGCAAACAAAAAACACAACTCTGATAATGTATGCACTGTCCTTGAAGTTGATTGGTCCACACCCGAGACAGCTTTCCTTAGAGCCTAGTCTCACATGGTGTTGGACCAGATGACGCCAAAAGGCGCACAACTCAAAGACAATGCGCCATCAGAGTATGAGAGCTCGGGGTAAGCATTTACACCGTTGGAACCTCATTTGCCAGAAGAAAAAATATGATAATTGTTTTTTTACCCTTTTATCTGGCAACAAAACTGACACTTTTTAGTCATGTTTGCATAGACCACAATACCTGCAGTCATAATGCAAAAAAAAAACAACTCTGATAATGTATGCACTGTCCTTGAAGTTGATTGGTCCACACCTGAGACAGCTTTCCTTAGAGCCTAGTCTCACATGGTGTTGGACCAGATGACGCCAAAAGGCGCACAACTCAAAGACAATGCGCCATCAGAGTATGAGAGCTCGGGGTAAGCATTTACACCGTTGGAACCTCATTTGCCAGAAGAAAAAATATGATAATTGTTTTTTTACCCTTTTATCTGGCAACAAAACTGACCACCTGTCCCCAACGCGGGGGTCACGGAGGTCGTGTGGAGAACTCAGCGGAGGTTGACGTCACGTTCGCAAACGTTAACGCGAGCAACGGCCGCGTTCAAAGTTTGCGAAACTCAAGATTCTATGCGAATCTCCGCCGTGTTTCCCGCTCGTGCCCCGTGGTGTTCACACGCAGTGTCCGACGTTTCGCTCCGTGCGGTGGCAGCCCTCTTCACGCGCTGCACGCCAAGCGGAACGCTGGATATCGTGCGGCACAACCCGAAAACACATCGTAGAGCTGCGCAGGAGCGCCTAACGGGAAAAGCCGACGCAGATCGGATTCTGTGTTCCGTGCCGTAATTAATTTTCTTACCATGGAAATTAACATGTGTGTTGTTGGGTAAACAATCTATTGTTTGCATATGCGTGCGCACACGCAGGCACACAGTTGGGGGGGGGGGGGGGGTGGAGAGGTTGCTCATTCTCCTCTGCTGCCCCCCCGTCAGAGGTCGCAACCGGGTACCCGATACCCGTACCCTACCCGATACCCGGCTACCCGGGTACGGGTACTGGTAGACCGTGAGTCACTGGTGAGTCACCGTTTGTCACTCATTTCCCAACGTCTTGTCTCTTCTCACAATTCAAGTTCCTAGAATCAACCCACCCGCGCCTGCAACATGGCTTCATGCCAGACGTCGCATTCGGGTACCCGTTACCCGTACCCTACCCGTACCCGGCCGGGTACGGGTGGGTTACGGGTACGGCCGGGTATCGGGTACGGGTACCCGTTTGCGACCCTGGTGCGGACGGGTACGGGTACGGGTAAGGAATCAAAACCCGTTTGCGACCTCTGCCCCCCGCAATCTTGGCCGCACGATGCGCGCGGAGCCACGCACCTCCCTTCCAGCCCGTCCACGTACTCCTTCTTCCGTTTGCGGCTCTCCTGCGCCGACTGCTTGTTCCGGATTTTCCTGCGAACTTTCTTGAGGATGCGCTCTTCCGCCTGTTGGCAGAAGTGGAGGCATTCACTCATTCATCTGTTCAATCATTCGCTCTGTACACCAATGGGTTAATTCTAAATTTGAAGCTTTCATGACTGCAAGGATTCATATTCTTAGGTTTTTTCGGTAAAGTTTTACCTACGTGACTTTACCGAAAAAACCTAAGAATACCAATGGGTTAGTGCTGTGCCTGTGGCCAATTCACACAGAATGCATCCAATCTCGACAGGCTTCAGAAGAATCACGACACATTGGGCATTGCTAACACTGCAGAGGCTCAGAAGGCCAGACTAAGGCATGTTTAGTTCTACCTGATGACGGTTGCTTGTGTTGCAATCAAAACGTCGTACTCTATTATTTAATTTATTTTCTTTCTACGTGACTTTACCAAAAGAACCAAAATGTAATTCCTGCAGTCACGAAAGCTTCAAATCAAGTTTATGTTTAGGTTAATTATCATTCAATATTAATGTCCGAAGCTCAGAGGCAGACTAAAGCGCCTTAAGGATTCATAGAGTTCAGTGTTAATGCCTGAGGCTTGGGGCAGTCAGACTAAGAGACATTTCAGTGTAGAGAGACTGTGGTTTGAGGGGGTATGGCTGTCTGTGTATCGCCGTCTGTGTATAGCTGTATCAATGTATCTGTGGCTAGCGATGAATGTATCTGTATACAGTAGACTCTCGATTATCCGTGTATGGTTTTGTCCGATTTGCAGATTAACCGTGCGCCTGAGATTTTGAGATCAATTCATAACTAATGGATTTTTCCCTTAAGCCCAAATGAATCATCTAAAAACAGTAATACATTTTTAATCTTGGAAATGTTTAATACAAGTAACGTGCTTAAAATGAACAAAAATGTGCTCCGGTGAATCCGAAATCCACGTGATCGCCTCTACAGTACAGTAGTTGAAAATCTTAACAACATTGGACGGAGTTTGATTGATGTTGATTGGCGTGGCTCTGCTGCTATCCACTTAGTGGGCCTTGTCTTCTGCGCGGGAGCAAGAAAGTGTAATCACGGAGCACGTGCATCGATCGGTGGACCGTGAGTATTCGTTACAAATAGCAAGAGGAACAATCTAAATCATCAGTTGTGCTTCATTTTGAGTGATTTATCCGATCATTTATTTTGGGAGTTTTAAGTTACGAAACTGTGATGGTAGAGAAACTTAAGCATAATTTATACCTATATTAGTGGTTTTTGGCAAAGAGATGCATGGAAAATGGATATTTTGCCTCTGTACCATTTCCATTTTGCTGTAATGTGCACTGATGCCTACTTCATTGAGCGAGATATTGGCACGCAACATAAAGACTGACTGATGCTTGCAAAACATGAAGACCTTGAAAGGAACACACGTGCCGGGTTGAAACAATCAGGCTGACCTGTCTACGATCCATCCTGGGTTTAACCAGACTGGATTTTATGAGCCCACAGATCCTTGATATATCTGGACACAGCCCCATCATCGAGCTCCTCTGGCAGCCGAGGCTGCGTTGGCTGGGTCATGTAGCCCACATGCCCAGCCACTCCATGCCCAAGCAGGGGCTAGAGAGAGATGGTCTAATGTGGTAAAGAGAACTGTGCAGCAATTGCCGATGACTGGTACGAGTAGTGTCAAAATCGTCCTCTGTGGAGGAGGCTCGTGAAGGACACTGCGGGGAAATTGGAGGTAGTCGCCCTCCAACAAATTGCTGACCCGTCCTCCTGGACATTTGTGAAAAAGAGCTTCATAGCTCATCAGATTCCTCCAGGAAAAGTGGAAAGATTCTGATTCTGAACAACAACGCGGGGCAGAGTGACGACCTCAACAAGGAGCAGAGCGCTGGGTGGCTAAAAGGCACCAAGTTTGGTACAGTGTGGATACAGGTGGTGCATCTGCCAGTCATCTCAGTCAACATATGGCACCTGGGTCTGTTCCGTGACCTGCAGCGAGTCATGGACGCTTCACGTGGCCTAAAAATGCACCAACCTAGGCATACGCGCCGTGGTGACATCACCACCACATGGTGGCGAACGGTGGTTGTTGTTGTGTGTAGCTCTAAATATATAGTACTAGCTGTACTACCCGGCTTCGCACGGGACTTGGATCCACCACGCCCGGCCGCCTTTGTCTCCCCAGTGGCGATGTTCACACACCACAGCAGTTACTCGTTTTGAGGCTGAGTCGACCTAGGGGATGCCCAGCACTGGTTGAAATAATCGTCACCGGTGGTGGCCGTGAGCGGGATCGAACTCGGGTCGTCGGGTTCGTAGCGCGGCGCGCTAACCACTACACTACAATGCATTACGCTTCCACGTGCGCGGGTCACATGACAGATGTGACGTCACAGCTCACTTGTCGTGCAAAAATAAATGCATTATTGAGCTCCCCCCCCCTAAAAAAGTGTATTTTCATAATTTTTGCATGGTGCACAGTCTGGAAAGTACCGACATGGCAAACTTCAAGTTTGTTGCATGTCGCTAAACATTTTGAACAGACACACATATTCACAACTTTGCCTTATATATATATGGAGATATGGAGATGTGTGTACGTGTGCCTGTGTGTAGTAAAGGGACAAGGCGCTTGGTTGCAATGTACCTTTGTGAGTGGCAGGTGGGAGGGTAGTGACAATCCCTCTTGCTCCAGCAGCTTCCTCTCCTCTTCAGACAGATTAAGCTCTGGGAACTTGAGCACAACGCAATACACTCAAGGTCAACAAGTCATCGAGGCCAAGGCTGCTGATGTCACCCACCACGCGCCGTCAATGCCCTTCCACCTTCCACCAGCAGTTGCAGTCCAGTTGCCACATGACTTATAATATCTGCCCTAACATTATCCCACAATTTGCTCTCATGTCTTCTCTCTTCCCCTTAGTCGCCAAACTCCTGGAGACCACTCAAATGCCAGCGGTGATCAACACTCCCCCCCCATCCTGCACACGGGTCCAACCCAGTGCAAACACATTTTTGCCGAATAATATAAATTAATCATAAAGCTTTGCCTCCCAAGTTCTCATCCGGACTTGCGCAATTTCAAGTGTCGGACCAAATTTTATATGACGGGTTTGGGTTTTTGTGCGCAGTCACTGATTGGTCACTGGGCGGAGACCATCAACTTGCTGCACTTTGAGAGCCCGGCTTAGTCGACGTGCGTGCGGCTGAAACTCGAGGACTAAAATCGAGGATCTCAATGGTGGCGGCTCAGTGCTCTGACCTCTCTATTTAATTATTACGGTGATAAACACTCACGCGGTAATGCCGTTTCACAAGCAATGTTTACTGCCCCACAGCTACGAGCGTGTGTGTGCAGTTGATGATGTGTGCGTAATTAACCTGGGAAGCATGAAGATGAATTTTTATATATTTTTTTATTTATGGGTTTGTTTTTTCTTGTGCAGCCATTGGTGATCGGGTTGAGATCATCGGCTTATATCGCTTGAGAGCCCGGTTTAATCATGGGCAGCTGAAACCCAGATTCAAACTCAGGCTCGAGTGGTGCTGGCATCAGGCCCCTGAACCAACCAGCGACTTCTAACCTCAGCAAGAAAGTAATTCCAAAACAATTGTAATTTTGCAATAATATCTATATAGTAGAACCCCTCTTAACGACCACCCCTGTTAATGACTAAACGACGGGCCTCCATAGAGCCCAATGTGTAGTGTATAGTAGTGTAGTGTATAGTGTAGTGTATAGTGTAGTGTATAGTGTAGTGTGTAGTGTATAGTAGTGTAGTGTATAGTGTAGTGTATAGGAGTGTAGTGTATAGTATATAGTAGTGTAGTGTGTAGTGTATAGTAGTGTAGTGTATAGTGTAGTGTATAGTAGTGTAGTATATAGTGTAGTGTATAGTGTAGTGTATAGTAGTGTAGTGTATAGCAGTGGTGTATAGTAGTGTAGTGTATATAAATTTAGTGTATAGTAGTGTAGTGTATAGTGTAGTGTATAGTAGTGTAGCGTAGAGTATTGTAATATATAGTAGTGTATAGTATATAGTAGTGTATAGTATATAGTAGTGTATAGTATATAGTAGTGTAGTGTATAGTAGTGTAGTGTATAGTAGTGTAGTGTATAGTAGTGTAGTGTACAGTGTAGTGTATAGGAGTGTAGTGTATAGTGTATAGTAGAGTGTATAGTAGTGTAGTGTATAGTAGTGTAGTGTATAGTAGTGGAGTGTATAGTAGTGTAGTGTATAGTAGTGTATAGGAGTGTAGTGTATAGTGTAGTGTATAGTGTAGTGTATAGGAGTGTAGTGTATAGGAGTGTAGTGTATAGTGTAGTGTATAGTAGTGTAGTGTATAGTGTAGTGTATAGTAGTGTAGTGTATAGTGTAGTGTATAGTAGTGTAGTGTATAGTAGTGTAGTGTACAGTGTAGTGTATAGGAGTGTAGTGTATAGTTAGTGTATAGTAGAGTGTATAGTAGTGTAGTGTATAGTAGTGTAGTGTATAGTAGTGGAGTGTATAGTAGTGTAGTGTATAGTAGTGTATAGGAGTGTAGTGTATAGTGTAGTGTATAGGAGTGTAGTGTATAGGAGTGTAGTGTATAGTGTAGTGTATAGTAGTGTAGTGTATAGTGTAGTGTATAGTAGTGTAGTGTATAGTGTAGTGTATAGTAGTGTAGTGTATAGTAGTGTAGTGTATAGGAGTGTAGTGTATAGTGTAGTGTATAGTAGTGTAGTATATAGTGTAGTGTATAGTAGTGTAGTGTATAGTGTAGTGTATAGTGTAGTGTATAGTGTATAGTGTAGTGTATAGTAGTGTAGTGCATAGTAGTGTAGTGTATAGTAGTGTATTGTAGTGTATAGTAGTGTAGTGTATAGTGTAGTGTATAGTAGTGTAGTATATAGTGTAGTGTATAGTAGTGTAGTGTATAGTGTAGTGTATAGTGTAGTGTATAGTAGTGTAGTGCATAGTAGTGTAGTGTATAGTAGTGTATTGTAGTGTATAGTAGTGTAGTGTATAGTGTAGTGCCTCCATAGAGCCCAATGTGTTCGCTTACCAACCATTCTCCTGTTAACGATGGGATGTTGTAGATAAAGTAAATATTAATTAATGCATTGATTTATTTATTACGTGTTTATAATGTTGTTTGTATCTCGATGTATTAATATCCATAGTTTAAATAGTATCAAGTACGTTTTGGGTGAAAAAAGGTAACTTTCGATGCTATCGGACAAATTAAGCCTATAACGTGTATTTCCTATACTCGCTTAACGACCGGTTTCGTGGAACCAATTGCCGTCGTTAAGAGGGGTTCTACTGTACAGGAAAGCTTCAGCAAGTCCCAAGACTCATGTTTATGAGGACGCTGCTGCATTGGGAAGTTTTGGCCAAGTCAATGAACGTTTGCCTTCAAGTGAGAGGAAACCAGATAACCGTAACAGTCAAATTCAATCCGCTGCTGCAGTGCCGCAAATTAACTGACAATTTAAATTTCCACGTCTTTACACGCTTTTATTTAACTCACTCTGTCTGTTGTTGTTGTCGTCGTATCCTCAAATCTTGTAACTCGATTTTAACCCACTTCCCAATGTGGTATCGACTGCAATTTTGGTATACTTAAGTCATACTGATGACAATACTATATTCTATCATTAAAAAATATATATATTTTTTTAAACCATCTTTTTTATATGTTATGTTTCGCCTTGGGTCTAATTGTCCACGCTCAACTGACATTGGCTGTAAATCACCACGGCCCCTTACGTTATGGCAAGCTTCGGGGCCACTTCCTGGAGTCGTGGAGTTCTGCCATTACTAGTACGGTACATTTCATTGTTTTTAAAGAAGTATTTTTTATATGACTTTTTTATTATTGCGCATTCATTGGTGACCACCCTTGAGACCATCAAATCACTGCACGCGAGATCCCGGTTTAATCACAGGCAGAAAGAAACCCGGATCCAAACACCAGGATCTCAGCGGTGCCGAACACTCTCTCAAACAGCCTCAGCTTTCCCAGCGGACATCTCTAGCCTAGGCGCAGCTACAAGGCCCAACTTTTTTTTTTCGATTTAAAGCTTTCGTGACTGCAGGGATTCATCTTCTTGGTTCGTTCGGTAAAGTCACGTAGAAGGGAAATAATAAAATAATACAAATAAAACATAATAAAATACAATTCTCACGACGTTTCGGCCACAATGCAAGCAGCCGTCCCTCTGGTGAAGAACAGGTCTGTCGGAAAGACAGCGTCTGAATGAACACCACCAAGCTTGGCAGCGTATATTTAAGAATTGTATATTATTATGTTTAATTTATTTTATTTTATTATTTCCCTTCTACGTGACTTTACCGAAGGAACCAAGAAGATGAAAGCCCAACTTGCCTACCAGGCTATCGGCGAGGACAACATGCTCGCCACCAGCTGAGGACCCAATGGAATCACTGCCTACCAGGCTGCCAGTGTCGCGGTACGAGTACTGGCTGGCGGACAGCATGGTGCCCTCCACTTTGATTCCACCGGCCAGCGCTGCCATGGGATTGTCAGCGAACGTGGAGACGCCAGCCATGTGGGAGTTCCACTCGTCTGCAATGAAGGGTGGACGGGCAGAGAGAGAGATGCACGAGGTCACGGTGCCGGGAAATAACGTGCACGTGCGTCCCAGGCACTGAAGACGCATCCGTGATGACAATCCGTATGTACGTTTATCCGGCTCGAAATGCGAATTACTTTTTACGTAAATATTAATTACATGCGAGTAGGTAACAATTCATCCCCAATACAGTCAGAACTTCAATAAACGTTCACGGTTTGAGGTCAGATTCGACTCAAGATTGTACTCTTTTTTTGTGCCTTGTGTAATGGTTAGCCAACTAGACTTGAAATCCAGAGGTCGCCGGATCAATTTGATCTCCTGGCGCAGAAAATAATACAATGGTCAAGTTTCTCAAATCTCTACGCCGCTGTCGATCAAGAAAAATAAATGTGACAGACCCAGATAGTCGATCGACAGGTTGCGTGTGGTGAGGAAGAGTAGGCCAAGTAACTTCTAGAGAGGGCTTTCTTGAGCTCCTCCTCGTGGAAACCTTCCGCCAGCAGTGGCATGAGCAAACTATTGCAGGGCTGCACCTTTACCACCGATAACTTTTACTCGACTTCACCGACTGATCGTCCCAGCTCTGCGAACATCCCTACTCACCGTACTCAATGGAGATGATGTCCATGTCTGACGACGGTGCCACGGCCTTCACCCCATCCAACCCCACGCTCAGTACGTAGCACATGTCCCGGGCACCGCTGCCCACTGCTGCCCTGCTGCCCTCGGCGATCATGGGGGCCAGGCCCTCGCCGAAGGAGACCCCCGGGCCCGGCACGGCCGATTCGTCCGAGATGCCGCTGTCGTCGCTGCCCATGGGTGACAAGCCGCCGTCATCTCGCGGGGACATGGAGCGCGCCTGGTGGGGGTCGACCATGTGGGAGAGGAGGTCCTCCGGCTCGCTGTCTTCCATGGCCTGGGAAGGCAGATGCGGTGATTTTTGATACTTTCCAAAAAAAGGATGGGGTAAGGATTTGCAGTTACAGCGCACTTAAATTCCTAACTCAAAGCGCCTTACATCACACCTGATTTCAAGCACATTTGATCCGCACCTCCGATTAGCACGGTTGGCTAGGTACGGCGCGAAAGAAGTTCAACGAACATAAAACCACTGAAAATGATTCAATTGGGAAAACCGCATGCACGTATGTCGATCCTGTTTCGCACCGTACGTAGCCAACCGTGCTAATCGGCATTAGTCTGCCACTCGGGCAACACATTGCCCTAGCGGCAGACGAATCCCCACTTGCAGGGTGGTGTTGCATTCGCCTTGCGCTGCACAGAGGGAGCTGCCATCCGGGGGTCTCCCTTATCCAAAACTGCAGATGGTTAGTGGATTGATTGAGATGAGATGTGACGGAAGGCGATTTGCAGTTGCTGAAGAATTTAAGCAAGTACAGTAAAAACTTGGATTGCGAGTAACTTGGTCTGCGAGTGTTTTGCAAGACGAGCAATTTTTTAAATAAATATTAATTTGATAAACGAGCGAGGTCTTGCAATACGAGTAGTACGTGTATACGCTTTGTCTGCCGAGCGTCACGTGATCACAACTGATATACGAGTGCTTTGGATTACAAACACGTTTCCGGAACGAATTATGCTCGCAATCCAAGGTTTTATTGTACATTTAAGCAAGTGCCCTCCAAATGCAAATCCTCATCCTTCCTGCAGTTTAACCACAGGGACAAAACAGTGACAACCGACAGTTAATATCCAATCAGCTCCCTTATGCATTGAAGGAAAAGGACATTTTGCTCACGTGATTGATGCCCCAAATGTCTCCCGATTCCTCAGAGCCGATGAAGGCATCCCCCATAAGTATCCCAGAATGCCCTGTGTCACGTGGCCCATCCGGGCAGTCGAGCAGCAGTTCCAGGAGCTCTGCGCTGCCCAGCTCCATGCTCACGCTGTTGCTGCTGCTGCTGCTGTCACTGCGTCTGCTGTTGTTGTGGCCAGTTTCTGCTGCCACCACTGTTGCTGCCCACACACATACATGACACACGGGTAAGGCCCATCACATAGTGAGCATGGCAGTCAAATGCTGTGGTTGACAGTCACATGCTAAATGACAAAGTAATCTACGACGTACTAATTTAAATTTTTAACCTACGTGACTTTACCAAAAAAACCTAAGAATATGAATCCTTGCAGTCACAAAAGCTTCAAATCTAGAAGTACTAATAGGGGTTTTCCCCTTTTTTCTGGCAACTAAACCGACACCTTTTGCAAGGCATCACGTTAACATTAACCACGATACTTGCAGTCAAATGCAAACAAAAACAATACTCTGATAATTTATGCATTGTCCTTGAAACTGATTGGTCCACACCAGAGACAGCTTTTCTTAGAGCCTAGTCTCATACGGTGTTCGACCAGATGACGCCAAAAGGCGCACAGTTCAAAGACAACGCACTATCAGAGTAATGAGGCCTCCTTACTGGCAAAGGAGGTCTCATAAAGTAATCTACGACGGTAAAGTGGCATGCCGTGGAGAGGTTAGATACCGTACTACAGGAGTCACATGATACGATAAATCCAAGCGTTGATGGATATGATGTATGTAATGTGAGCACAAGTCAATATTTACAGCAGTGGTGCTGGTTAGCATGATGCGCTGTTAACCTGATCACCTGAGTTCGATTCCTGGCCATATTTAACACGAGTGAACTTTCACCAACCCACACTGACCAGCATGAATTGCAGTTACAATGATGTGGCTTTACCATAGCACATGGCTATATGGAATGTCAATTACCATGGCAGTCACTACGGAGTACGAGAGTCAACGTTATGGTAAAGCTACGTGTCGATAGCCTCGTGCAATGTATGACAAGGTCATTCGCCATGGCGAAGACACGTGCTGTAGTAGGTCTTTTGATATGGTAAGAATGAAATGGCGTAGCTACTACTATTAAAAAGTTAACAGAATGGTAAAGTCACGTTTACGATGCTAAACGCATAATAACAAGCTGAACTCCGTTGTGTGCATCCGTCAAACTAAAAAAAGGCGTTTTGATTTCATCAGCCAATCGGCTTTCCATATCGGCATGATCCAGCAACGTGTAATTATTAAGCCATAAAACTCTGGAAACAATTTCGACAATTCTGGGTCGCATCAGCAGTCAGGGTTTGTTAAACCAGACTCTGCTGCCGCTGCTGCTTTGCTGAATGTGCTTGGCAAGGGCACTCCGTTGTTCTTGTAAATGTGACTTTGTAGTTCTGTGCTCGATTATAGAATCTGTACGAAAATGCACCACGCACAACACACTGAACCGTGCGTCTCTACTTCATAGCTGCCATCCCCTGATCAGCGTTCTACCTTATTATAGACCAATTCAGATCTTATTGGTCACCCCGTACCCTTCTAAATATCAACGTTCACCCCACAAAGCCCATCACAAGTGAGAAACACAAACGAATAGACAAAGACCACTAGTACACTCACTAATACAAACCTGTCAACCCCTTATCAGTGCCTATCCTATTAAAGACCAATTCATAATGTATTGGTCACCCCGTGCCCTTCTCAATCTCAACGTTCACCCCACAAAGCCCCATCACTAGTGAGAAACACAAACGAATAGACAAAGACCAATAGTACACTCACTAATACAAACCTGTCAACCCCTGATCAGTGTTCTACCATATTGCAGACCAATTCAGACCATAATGCTCACCCCGTGTCCTTCTCAATCTCAACGTTCACTCCACAAAGCCCCATCACAAGTGAGAAACACAAACGAATAGACAACGACCAATAGTACACTCACTAATACAAACCTGTCAACCCCTGATCAGTATTCTACCATATTGCAGACCAATTCAGACCATATTGCTCACCCCGTGTCCTTCTCAATCTCAACGTTCACCCCAAAATGTCCCATCACAAGGGAAAAACACAAACTTCAACACAAACAAACTTCAAGGACAGTGCACATTATCAGAGTTATGTCTTTTGTTTGTATTATTACTGCAGGTATTGCGGTATATACAAACATGACTCCTTGTAAAAAGGTGTCAGTTTTGTTGCCAGATAGAAGGGTAAAAAACCAATTATCATATTTTTACTGGCAAATGAGGTTCCCATAGTGTAGATGCTTGCCCCGAGCTCTCATACTCTGATGGTGCATTGTCTTTGAGTTGTGCGCCTTTTGGCGTCATCTGGTCCAACCCATGTGAGACTAGGCTCTAAGGCAGGGGTCGGCAACCAAAATAACAAGAAGAGCCATTTCTTTCCAGTTCGGTACAAAATTCAGTATTTCAAGAGCCGCAATGCATCTGAGTACATACTGTACATATCGTCAAGAAGCAGCCCGTAAAGAGCCGCATGCGGCTCCGGAGCCGTAGGTTGCCGACCCCTGCTCTAAGGAAAGCTGTCTCGGGTGTGGACCAATCAACTTCAAGGACAGTGCATACATTATCAGAGATATGTCTTTTGTTTGTATTATGACTGCAGGTATTGCGGTCTATACAAACATGACTTCTTGTAAAAAGGTGTCAGTTTTGTTGCCAGATAGAAGGGTAAAAAACCAATAATCAACTAGACACAAGTGATCATTATTTTTGCCCGCAGTGAAACGTCTGCACCCCGTACGAGAAGAACACCGCTGCGTGAAACCGCGTGGGTTGACGCAGTTACTGCTGCTGCTGCCACCCATCACCAACCACGAGAACTTTTACCGTGCGGTCGAACAACTTTTTTTTTATAAGGGAAACAATCGTTGCAAATACTCATAGAGCAACAGCAACACGCGACAGTGACTTTCTCTGTACGTGTGTGTGGGTGTCAGCTCACAACAACGAGCGGAGCGCCGGGTGGCTAAAGCACAGCAAGTTGGCACAGTAGGGGGCACAGGTGGTGCATCAGCCAGTCATCTCGGTCATCTCAGTTAGTCAACCCGTGGCATCTGCTGGGTCTGCCCCGTGACCTCCTGCCAGCGGGCGTTCGACGCTTCACGTGGTAGCCTCAAGGTGCACCTAGCCTGGCACAAGCGTCGTGGTGACGTCTCCGCAACTTAGTGACAGGGTGGGGAGCGGTGGTGCAGTGGTTAGCGCTGCGAACCTGGCTAACCGGGTTCGATTCCCGTTCACGGACAACACCACCAGCGATGATTATCTGAACCGGTCCTGGGCCTCCCCTAGGTCGACTCAGCCTCAAATGAGTACCTGGTGCGGTGTAAACATCGTCACTGGGGAGACAAAGGCGGTCGGGCGTGGTGTTGGCCACCCACACCCTCGTGTGCTGTGCCGGCCTTCATAGGTGCTCGCTAACAGCACTTGCCCCTACAGTGTGTGAAGGCTACACGGGGGATCTTTGTCTTTGTCTTGTAGGTGTCAGCCCTCATCCAGCAGTGGACGTCTTTAGTTCAATCTCATCGGACGACTCTCGAGCGAAAGATGTTTCTCAAACACATTAACACATCGTAAACTTTTAACGATTTAAAACTATGGGAACCTCATTTGCCAGTAAAAATATGATAATTGGTGTTTTACCCTTCTATATGGCAACAAAACTGACACCTTTTTACAAGGAGTCATGTTTGCATAGACTAGGCTCTAAGGAAAGCTGTCTCGGGTGTGGACCAACCAACTTCAAGGACAGTGTACATTATCAGAGTTGTGTCTTTTGTTTGTATTATGACTGCAGGTATTGCGGTCTATGCAAACATGACTCCTTGTAAAAAGGTGTCAGTTTTGTTGCCATATAGAAGGATTTAAAACAACTGAATCTTTGTAACAAACCCAAAGAACGAGGAATCGTTGCTAGCGAGAGGTGCCGCGGGGCGACTGGAGCCGTCGCCACGTCCGCAAAACGACGCGGCAAGTTCGTCGAGGCCGCGATAAGCAAGACGACTCACAGTGACGACGATTTAAAGAGAACAACAACAGCAGCAACAACAACAGCAGTGGCAACAACAGCAGCAGTAGCAGCAACAACAACAGCAGCAACAACAAACCCAAGCGGATTGGGATCGCTCGGAACGAGCCTTACCCACTCCCTCCTGGCCTCAGATCTCATGGACTGTTGTTGGTGGTGGTGATGTTGTAGGTGGTGGTGTTGGTGGTGGTGTTGGTGGTGTTGTTGGTGGTGATGTTGGTGGTGGTGTTGTTGGTGGTGGTGTTGGTGGTGTTGTTGGTGGTGATGTTGGTGGTGGTGTTGTTGGTGGTGATGTTGTAGGTGGTGGTGTTGGTGGTGTTGTTGGTGGTGGTGTTGTTGGTGGTGATGTTGTAGGTGGTAGTGTTGTTGTTGTATGTGTTGTTGTTTGTGGTGGTAGTGTTGTTGTTTGTGGTGGTGTTTGTGGTAATGGTGGTGTTGGTGGTGATGTTGTATGTGGTGATGTTGTTGTGTTGGAGGTGGTGATGTTGGTGGTGGTGTTGTTGGTGGTGATGTTGTAGGTGGTGGTGTTGGTGGTGTTGTTGGTGGTGGTGTTGTTGGTGGTGATGTTGTAGGTGGTAGTGTTGTTGTTGTATGTGTTGTTGTTTGTGGTGGTAGTGTTGTTGTTTGTGGTGGTGTTTGTGGTAATGGTGGTGTTGGTGGTGATGTTGTATGTGGTGATGTTGTTGGTGTTGGAGGTGGTGATGTTGGTGGTGGTGTTGTTGTTGGTGTTGTTGGTGTTGCTGGTGGTGTTGTTGTTGGTGATGTTGTTGGAGGTGGTGGTGTTGTTGTTGGAGGTGGTGGTGTTGTTGTTGGTGTTGTTGTTGTTGGTGATGTTGTTGGAGGTGGTGGTGTTGTTGTTGGAGGTGGTGGTGTTGTTGTTGGTGTTGTTGTTGTTGGTGATGTTGTTGGAGGTGGTGGTGTTGTTGGTGGTAATGTTGTTGTTAGATCCAATGTCAGTGAGAGTCGGAGCCGTGCCCGGGGCTTCCGGGTACAAGCTGGCAGATTTGACGTCACACCAAGGGGGGGGGGGTGGGGGGGGGGTGAGCCGACGGGCGGCCATGTTGCTCAGGGGGTGGCGTTCACATTTCAAGGCAGTCCCCGGGTTACGGAAGGGGTTGCGTTCCGCGGAAAGATCCGTAACCCGAATTTTCCGTATGTCGGAAACTGAACCAAAAATTTCCCCTCCCCCCCCCCGATATCAAGACCCCACAGCCAGAAATAATTGCGCCTATCGTACACGATTATTAGGTTCCTTTTCACTCGGTACTGTGTTGCGCTATCGTCCGTTTTGTATTGCTGCCTGTATAGTATCCTTGCACATACGCTCTGCCCTTCCTACGATTATTTCATTTAATCGAATATCTACCCTAACACTACCCACAATTAAACTAATGGAACATATACTGTATCCAATTGTTAATGAATACCACGACACATTTAATATGAGTTGTAAACGGAAAGCAGTCACTTCCGAGTGTGTGTTTACTGTGCATAAAATTTCGATTTAAAGCCTTCGTGACTGCAGGGATTCGTATTATTGGTTCTTTCGGTAAAGCCACGTAGAAGGGATAAAATAATAAAAATAAAACAATAAAATTCTCACGACATTTCGACTGCAACACAAGCAATCATCATCGGGTGTGAAAACCACAGCAAGAAAATTTGAAAAAGTGGCGGTTTTTTCCCAAATCGGACAAAACCATATTTCCAAATCGGACAAAATTGCGTGACGTCATTTATGGACGGCCCCTGAGTGGACGTCGGCCCACGTGCAAGGGCAACCAGTGCCGCCCGGCAAGCCCGTAACGGACTTCACAGCCGAAGACGATGTGTGCCACGTGGTTTTCCTGGCTCATCCCGCGTTCACAACATCGACCATTCTATCACTGAACCTGACACAAAGCCCCCTCCCCTGGTCTCCACGTGCTGGAGAACGTCATTGCCATGCAAACCTACCTTACGAGGGGAACAAAAGAAGCAAATCGAGATCTAAATAATTGATTCGATTCATGTGCTCTGAAAAGGGACTTTGGCTGAAATGCCGCCTATTATAAAAGCTTCCTTTTAAGGTCACAGTGTGATTGACGAATACGTTGAGTTTTTCGTTATTTGTCCTTGTGCACCACTGCAAATGCAGCATCGTCGAGCAATATGTTTTAAAGTACTCTAATTAACATAAGCATTAAGTACTCTAATTAACATAAACATTAAACAGATTAAGAAAAAAATAGTGCCAGCACCAACGCAGTGGCTTAATGGAACGGGCATGGTCACGGCAGGTGAGGTGCTGGATCATGGAGCCCGCATGCCCAGCCACCGCATGCCCCAAGCAGCTGCTGTTTGTCCGGATAGAGGGGCCTCAACGGGAGATGGAGCTGATGCGGTACGGGAGGATGTGGAGCGGAGTGGACTTGCCGCTGACCGGTACCAGCGGTGTCAAGATCAGCCTCTATACGGAGGAGGCTCGTGAAGGAGGCTGCTGCTACTGGGCAGTTGGAGGCAGTCGCCCTCCAGCAACAACAGAGGGCAGAGGAGACGACGCTCACAACAACGAGCGGAGTGCCAGGCAGATAAAGGGGCATAATTGACGTCACGCACCTATGGGAAGGGGGGGGTCAGACATTTGTGACGATGTGTGTTGGGAAATGTGACGTCACATCAAAATGCACAACTTTAACTAAATATAGACAACACGTTCTACTTAATTAAATAGACGTTTTAATAAATGTTTTCTCCTACAACATCAGGATGCAGCGCCACATTAAATACGCACTACAATGACAATAGTTTAAAGCGATTTGAAGCATGTTTTATTTTGGGGGGGGGGGGGCAGAGCTTTGTGACGTCATATTTGAGGGGGGGGGGTCTGACTTTTTGTGACGCCGTGTGACGAGGGGGGGTGGTCATAAATCGTCAAAAATCGCGTGACGTCATTTATGGATGACCCCAAAACGCAGCAAGCTGGCACAGTAGGGGGGGGGGGGTTACAGCTGGTGGTGCATCTTGCCAATCATCTCAGTCAGTCAACCCTGCTGGGTCTGTCCCGTGACCTGCCAGCAGAGAGCCTTCAACAACTTCACGTGGCCTCAAAGTGCACCTGGCCTGGCACAGGCGCTCTGGTGACGTCACCATCGTATTGGAGGAGGTGGGGAGGGGGGCGAAATGGGCGTGGCGTGAGGGAAGGGGAGGGGCTTGAGGGAGGGGGGGCGATCGTGAAGGGGGTGGGTGGGGGGGGCGATCGTGAAGAGGGAGGGGGGGGCGATCGTGAAGGGGGTGGGTGGGGGGGCGATCGTGAAGAGGGAGGGGGGGGGCGATCGTGAAGGGGGAGGGGGGGGGCGATCGTGAAGGGGGTGGGGGGGGCGATCGTGAAGAGGGAGGGGGGGGCGATCGTGAAGGGGGAGGGGGGGGCGATCGTGAAGGGGGTGGGTGGGGGGGCAATCGTGAAGGGGGAGGGGGGGGCGATCGTGAAGGGGGTGGTGGGGGGGGGCGATCGTGAAGGGGGTGGGGGGGGGCGATCGTGAAGGGGGTGGGTGGGGGGGCGATCGTGAAGGGGGAGGGGGGGGCGATCGTGAAGGGGGGTGGGGGGGGGCGATCGTGAAGGGGGTGGGTGGGGGGCGATCGTGAAGGGGGTGGTGGGGGGGGCGATCGTGAAGGGGGTGGTGGGGGGGGCGATCGTGAAGGGGGTGGGGGGGGGCGATCGTGAAGGGGGTGGGGGGGGGCGATCGTGAAGGGGGTGGGTGGGGGGCGATCGTGAAGGGGGTGGTGGGGGGCGATCGTGAAGGGGGTGGGGGGGGGCGATCGTGAAGGGGGTGGGTGGGGGGCGATCGTGAAGGGGGTGGTGGGGGGGGCGATCGTGAAGGGGGAGGGGGGGGCGATCGTGAAGGGGGAGGGTGGGGGGGGCGATCGTGAAGGGGGTGGGGGGGGCGATCGTGAAGGGGGTGGGTGGGGGGCGATCGTGAAGGGGGTGGTGGGGGGGGCGATCGTGAAGGGGGTGGTGGGGGGGGCGATCGTGAAGGGGGGTGGGGGGGGCGATCGTGAAGGGGGTGGTGGGGGGGGCGATCGTGAAGGGGGTGGGGGGGGCGATCGTGAAGGGGGTGGGTGGGGGGCGATCGTGAAGGGGGTGGTGGGGGGGGCGATCGTGAAGGGGGTGGGGGGGGCGATCGTGAAGGGGGTGGGGGGGGGGGCGATCGTGAAGGGGGTGGGGGGGGGGCGATCGTGAAGGGGGTGGGTGGGGGGGCGATCGTGAAGGGGGAGGGGGGGGCGATCGTGAAGGGGGTGGGTGGGGGGGCGATCGTGAAGGGGGGGGCGATCGTGAAGGGGGTGGGTGGGGGGGGGCGATCGTGAAGGGGGTGGGTGGGGGGGGCGATCGTGAAGGGGGTGGGTGGGGGGGGCGATCGTAAAGGGGGTGGGTGGGGGGGCGATCGTGAAGGGGGGGGGCGATCGTGAAGGGGGAGGGTGGGGGGGCGATCGTGAAGGGGGTGGGGGGCGATTGTGAAGGGGGTGGGTGGGGGGGCGATCGTGAAGGGGGTGGGTGGGGTGGGGCGAGCTTGAAGGGGGAGGGTGGGGGGGCGATCGTGAAGGGGGTGGGTGGGGGGGCGATCGTGAAGGGGGTGGGTGGGGTGGGGCGAGCTTGAAGGGGGAGGGTGGGGGGGCGATCGTGAAGGGGGAGGGGGGGGCGATCGTGAAGGGGGTGGGTGGGGGGGGCGAGCTTGAAGGGGGTGGGTGGGGGGGGGCGAGCTTGAAGGGGGAGGGTGGGGGGGCGATCGTGAAGGGGGGTGGGTGGGGGGGGGCGAGCTTGAAGGGGGTGGGTGGGGGGGGGCGAGCTTGAAGGGGGTGGGTGGGGGGGGCGATCGTGAAGGGGGTGGGAGGGGGGGGCGATCGTGAAGGGGGTGGGGGGGGCGATCGTGAAGGGGGTGGGTGGGGGGGGCGATCGTGAAGGGGGAGGGGGGGGCGATCGTGAAGGGGGTGGGGGGGGCGATCGTGAAGGGAGGGGCTTGAGGGAGGGGGGCGGGGCGATAGCGAGAAAGTGGGCGTGGTCAGAGTGAAAGTGGGCGGGGCTACGGGGGAGGGGTTGGGCGTCGCCCGCGTGACGTCATCGTCGCCCGAGGAACCCGGGGCTGAGTGGTTGTGTAGCGGGTCCGTGTGGTGGTTGCCTCCTGCGGGTCTCGGTAAAAACCAAACCTCAACAATTCTCCCCTTTAAACATTTTTTTTTACACATTTCTTCAAGTTAAGCTTAAAAAAAAACGACCACTCCACAAAGATGCCCAAGAAGAAGCCAGAACCCTTGCAAATCACCCACACGGTCGGAGACTGCGTTCCTGTGGGAAACCCCACCACGTCCACCGAGTGAGTGCATGACAATTGTATTGTTTGTGTTTATTTAGTCGCTGTTTTTCGTTGACGTCGGTTGTCGTGTAGATCTGTGGGGCTCCTTCGTTGAGCTGCGAGAGGTTTTAAAAAAAAAAAATCCGATCGGACGAGGTAACGACGAGGTGATGGGGGGGGGGTCCTCGACCAGGCGAGCTCGGCCGGGAGTTGGTGCCTCCATCCCGGCAGCGATTCTATCCGAGAGTCGGTGTCTCCTGATCCGGCGTTAGGCCTCGGATGCAACATCTGATTAAATGTACATTTAAATTAATTAAATACGATCGCACGAATTAAACGCGATTATCCTTATGCACTACGGACTAAATATATTAAGGTGTGCATAATGCGCATGCCCCCCCCCCCCATTGTCAATCCACTGCTGCATGAAACCCCCCGGGGTGTCGTTTGACCATACTTCACCACTCTGGGTGTGTGCGGGTTTGATGTAGGGGAACCCCAACTCTTGTTCGGATATCACGTTTCGCCCAAGTGGCTTCAAATATGTGCGCGCGTAATGAATTAACCCATCCCCTTGACCGTTACTTTAACATATTTCCGCGTGGATCAGCATTTAAAGTAGCACGTGTCTTCTCTCGGATAAAATAAACAATCTAGAATGCAGATACATCGCATGCACGTCGTGAACAACACCAGTTGGAAGCTTTGTAAATGAGGGGGGGGGGGGGGGTGGACAGTCTAAAGTCGTCCCCATCGCTTCTGCTGTTGTCTTCACTGCTTTAAAGGAAGAACGGACCAGATCCACTCTGCGTCTGAACAAACACTTGAGTGGATAACAACATTTTTCGATTTAAAGCTTTCGTCACTGCAGGGATTCATCTTCTTGGTTTTTTCGGTAAAGTCACGTAGAATGGAAATAATAAAATAATCTTAAATAAAACATAATAAAATAATTCTCACGACGTTTCGGCCACAACGCAAGCAGCCGTCCTGTTCTTCACCTGAGGACGGCTGCTTGCGTTGTGGCCGAAACGTCGTGAGAATTATTTTATTATTTCCATTCTACGTGACTTTACCGAAAGAACCAAGAAGATGGATAACAACATCTTAATTGCATCTTTTAATCTGCTACTATGAATCTACGGGGTCTGGGGTGGGGGTCTCTCTCACCATTTCGCTGCAATTCTTTCACCAGTCTCGTCCCATTCGTCATTCCAGCCCCTAGCCATCATCATGTGTCTTGCCCAAACCCACTTTATTTCCTTAAACAGTCAACATGATACCTTTGTTCACTTGATCCACGTGTTCATCTGGTCTCTTTTAGTGGCATTACAAGCACGCATCTCGTGCTTTCATCGTCGAGTCATGGTTATCCACTGCTGGCTGATGACACAACGTGATGGCTCCGATTTTGCATTTTTTTTCCCTCGTCCAATGTGTTCTATTTCACATCTTAGCGTAGTTCCAAAACATGCATATCCCCATCTTTCTTTTGCGCATTTGTTTTTAGGCATTCGCTCACATATCTGATCCGTAAGTCGTATGCATTGATCGTGAATTTCTTGCACATGCAATATGTGCGTTTGTTCAAATAAGTACCGTTAAAATCAGAGCGACTTTGTGAACATTTTATCAGATGGATATTAGCACCTCTAGCGTTCCATCTCCACGGTGGAGGATTCCTCACTCAGACACTTTCCATACCTGTCAACCCCTTATCAGTGCCCACCTCGTATTGCAGACCAGTTCAGACTTTATTGGTCACCCCGTGCCTCTTATAAATCTCAACGTTTATTCTACAAAGTCCCATCACAGGGTAGAAACACAAACAAATAAACAAAAAAATGTGGCGGTATTGAAACGGCTGTTCGCCGTATGGACCTGAAAACTAAATTTCCCTGCGCTATTCTTTCAATTTATTGGCCTCGGCTGCCTCATTCTACAGCACTTAACCATCGGACATCATCACTTTCTAGATCATATGACGTGTCCTGTCCAAGCTCACTTACCATTCTAGCCCATGTGTTGTTCTCTTTCTGCCAATGGAATTCAAAGCTTGCGATCTCCGCGTGTGCTTTGTAAAGCCTCGGTTCATTTTTTTTTATCTTGTGGTGCTTCTTTAAAGACAAAGATCTCCCGTATAGCCTTAACAGACTATCGGGGCAAGTGCTGTTAGCGAGCAGCACCTATTAAGACCAAAACGGCACACGAGGGGGTGGGTGGCCAGCACCACGCCCGGCCGCCTTTGTCTTTCTTAGTGGCGACGTTATTACGCACCACACCAAGTACTAATTGAGGATGTGTTAAGAGCACACTTGCACAATAACATTCTAATACTGTACATGCATCTGGCCCCGAGGGCACGCCTTTAAATATTTTCAAGAACGGGGTTCTTTTCTGGCATTTGATATCGGATTCCCCTTTAGTTTCATTTGGCTCCGGACTTGATCTGATAAACTCATTGCTCAAATGTGCAAACACACGCATATGTTAAAATGTATTGTCCAAACATCTTCATGCAACAATCCTTCAGAACAGAAGCATTGGGACTGATTTTTCTTAGGATAAATGAAGGACGCTATTGTTTTTCCTACACGTGTTACAAAAGGACCATTGGATTTATAAGTATGAGCAACAAGGACTGTTGTTATTCCAGTGGAGTCATAACATCTTATATTCCTCTTTACAATGTGAACAAAGGCGACATTATTCCCCGTGTGTTTAATTGGCAGCAAGATAACACTTGTGATTGTATTTTTTTTATCCAAGCACATACGCCAAGGGTGTTGTGGGAGTCAATGTACTGCTCAAGTACACTGCACTATGGACCCGACTACCCGATTTCGATTCGCAGGCAGGGCTAAACATTGGCGAGTGCTTTCGAACCTGGTCCTGGACACCAATACCAACACCCACCTGTGCCAGGCCAGGTGCACTGAGTGGCCACGTGAATTATCGAAGGCTCGCTGATGGGAGGTTGCGGGACAGACTCAGGTGCCATGGGTTTGGCTGACTTAGATGACTGGCAGATGCACCAGCTGTAACCCCCCCCCCTCCACCGGCACCCCCCACCCACTTGATAAACCCGTATTGACCAGCATGGTGAAACACAGTGTGGCCAAACAGCCCTCATTATGGACACGGCATAGGGAAGCCTTAATTCATCTAGCAGTGGATTGACAACCGGGCTGTACTGTATACTGAAGCAGGATACTTTCTCCACAACTCAGGCTGTCCGCCTGATGATGCTGGTTGTAGTTACTGGCGAAACGTCGTACTCGAATCGTAAATGTCGTGGGTTTAGTCTTCAACACACCACTGTGCTCAACTCGTAACGAATTGTCATGTTTTGTTTACGTGACCAACCTCACTTATTGGCTGTGTCGGGTGGTGGCGGGTTTAACGACTCAATTATATTTACGCGATCTAACCCAAAAACCTCTATTATGGATACATACATAGAAGCAGGGTTGCCCGTTGACTTTCAACAGCGCTGTATTTGGCCTTTCTCTCTTTGTGTCGACATGCCTGTTCTTTGATACGGTTTGACTCCACATGGCTTCCAATGGCTTTGCATTCGTCACCATTGCGGTGTAGCAACACCTTGTGTGGCTTTGGGAAGGATGACACATGGCAAGGGCATTTACTTAAGGTGGGACTGTTTGCCTGTGGGTGCGTCTGGCAAACGGTTATTCGTTATATACATGGTTAGATTTATGGTGGCAGTGTGTGTGTGTGGTTCACAATGTGTGTGTGTGTGTGTCTTGACGCATGTATGTGGAGAGTGGTGGTGTAGTGGTTGATGCATGTGGTGGCTATCTGAACTGGTTTTCCACCTTCCCTACCTAGCTCGTCTCGGCCTCATGATGCAGTGTGCAGACACCAGCATATGGGAGACGAAAGCAGCCAGGTGTGGTGTTGGCAAAATCACTCCCAAATGTGCAATACCAGTCTTAATCGGTGCTTGCTAAAGTAACATTCCCCATCATTCTTTGTAGGGCATATTTGTATTTTTAGTATGTATATCTATATATCTGTCGCTTTGTGAGTGTGTCTTCGTGTGCGTCAGTATATGCTTGTTCGTGTAGCTCATTGTGTGTGGCTCTTGTGTGTAGATAAGTTCGTGTTTTTAGGTCGTGTGCGTCATTCAGAATGTGGGTTTATCTGTCCCGGAGTCTGTTTCACTATATTGCATTATATGTACATGTGTGTGCGTCATTGTATTTCTAAACATCTCCACATCTCTAAAACAGTATATTTTTCAGTATGTTCTTGTCTCCACCCCCCTCTTCCCATGCATATACTACCGCGGTGTGATGGTTTGCACACAGGTCACCAATTCGTTATCCTGGCGCAGCAGTTGAAACTACGGTGCAGTGTCTCAAATATTCCCCTGCCGTTGCCGTCCCAGCAGTTTAAATAAGTACACAGCACAAGTCAATCCGTAGGTTGCCAGTGTTAGGTTTATTGTGGGTACTCTCTCAAGAGCTCCTTTGAGAGGAAGCTCTTCTGCCAGCTCTGGCATGACCAAGCAATTACAAGACTGCACCTTTACCTTCTTTTAACTTCTCAGCGGATCAGTGTGTCTATGCGGCTGTGTGTGTGTGTGCCTGTCCGATTCAGTCGAGTGGCACTATCTCTTCATCAGCTGCGTAACGTTGTGTGAAAGCTACCTGGCCTATCACTCCATACAAAGCTCCAGACATTCTCTGCCACAGTTATGCCCTCCCTTGTGTTTACAAAACGTGGAGCCCTTTAAGGGAACACATGCACTGGTCTGAAATATTTTTGATGGCCTCCCTACAATCCATTCTGAATGTAAACAGACTTGATTGTGATAATTGGTTCTTTACCCTTCTATCTGGCAACAAAACTGACACCTTTTTGCAAGGAGTCATGTTTGCATAGACCGCAATACCTGCAGTCATAATACAAACAAAAGAACATAACTCTGATAATGTGCACTGTCCTTGAAGTTGATTGGTCCACACCCGAGACAGCTTTCCTTAGAGCCTAGTCTC